CTTGGAGTAGACCTTTCCAGGGAGGCTGAGGAGTGTGATCCCCCTATAGTTGGAACACACCCTCAGGTCACCCTTCTTAAAGATGGGGACCACCACCCCGGTCTGCCACTCCCTAGGAACTGCCCCCGATGACCACGCAATGTTGTAGAGACGTGTCAACCATGACAGCCCTACAACATCCATAGCCTTGAGATACCCAGGACGAACCTCATCCGCCCCCGGGGCTCCGCCGCTGTGTAGTTGTTTGACTACCTCAGCAACTTCTGCCCCCGAGATCGGGCAGTCCATCCCCAGGCCTCCCAGCTCTGGTTCCTCCTCGGAATGCGCATTGGTGGGATTGAGGAGCTCCTCAAAGTATTCCTTCCACCGTCCGACTATAGCCCCAGTTGACGTCAGCAGCTCCCCATCCCCACTGTAAACAGTGTGAGCGAGTTGCTGCCTTCCTCTCCTGAGGCGCCGGACAGTTTGCCAGAACCTCTTTGGAGCCGATCGATAGTCTTTCTCCATGGCCTCACCAAACTCCTCCCACGCCCGAGATTTTGCCTCGGCAACTGCCACTGCTGCACCCCGCTTGGCTATCCGGTACCTGTCTGCTGCCTCCGGAGACCCACAGACCAGCCACGCCCTGTAGGCCTCCTTCTTCAGCCTGACGGCTCCCCGAACCTCTGGTGTCCACCAGCGGGTACGGGGGTTGCCACCACGACTGGCACCGGCCACCTTACGACCACAGCTAGCAACAGCCGCCTCGACAATCGCAGAGTGGAACAAGGCCCACTCGGACTCAATGTCCCCCACTGCTCTCGGGACGTGGTCAAAGCTCTGCCGGAGGTGGGAGTTGAAGACCGTCTTGACAGGTTCTTCTGCCAGGCGTTCCCAGCAGACCCTCACTATGCGTTTGGGTCTGCCAGGTCTACGCGGCATGTTCCCTTGCCATCTGATCCAACTCACCACCAGGTGGTGATCAGTTGACAGCTCCGCCCCTCTCTTCACTCGGGTGTCCAAAACATACGGCCGCAGGTCAGATGATACGACTACAAAATCTATCATCGACCTGTGACCTAGGCTGCCCTGGTACCAAGTGTACCGGTGGGCATCCTTATGTTCGAACATGGTGTTCGTTATGGCCAAACTGCGGCTTGCACAGAAGTCCAATAACAAAACACCGCTCGAGTTCAGATTAGGTGGGCCGTTCCTCCCAATCACACCCCTCCAGGTCAAGCTGTCATTGCCCACGTGAGCATTGAAGTCCCCCAGCAGGACAATGGAGTCCCCTGATGGAGCACTATCTAGCACTCGTCCCAGGGACTCCAAAAAGGGTGGGTACTCTGAACTGATATTTGGCCCATAAGCACAAACAACAGTCAGGACCCGTTCCCCGACCCGAAGGCGCAAGGAAGCTACCCTCTTGTCCCCCGGGGTAAACCCCAACACACAGGCAGAGAGTCTCGGGGCTAACAAAAAGCCAACCCCAGCCCTCCGCCTCTCACCCGGAGCAACTCCAGCAAAGTAGAGTGTCCAACCCCTCTCCAGGTCTCGGGTTCCAGAGCCAATGCAATGTGTCGAGGTGAGTCCGACTATATCTAGCCGGTACCGCTCAACCTCTGCCACAAGCTCCGGCTCCTTCCCCGCCAGCGAGGTGACGTTCCATGTCCCAAAAACTAGTTTTCTTGTCCGGGGATTGGACCGCCAAGGCTCCCGCCTTGGTCTGCCACCCGATTCGCATTGCACCGGACCCTTCATGTTCCTCCTGCGGGTGGTGGGTCCACAGTTGGACGAGCCCATGTATCCGGTTCGGGCTGGGCCCGGCCGGGCCCCATGGGCGAAAGCCCGGCCACCAGGCGCTCGCTCACGGGCCCCAACCCCAGGCCTGGCTCCAGGGTGGGACCCCGGTAACCCTCCGGGCCGGGTACTCCGACTCTTCGTTTTAACCGCCATGAAAGATCCTTCGAACCGTTCTTTGTCTCACCCTTCACCTAAGACCAATTTGTCATGGGAGACCCTACCAGGGGCACTAAGTGCCCCAGACAACATAGCTCCTAGGATCATTAGGGCACTCAAACTCCTCCACCACGATAAGGTGACGGTTCAAGGAGGAGATGTGTCAAAAATCTATTATTTATGTTTTTCATTTTTTTCATTGTGTCAAAAATGAAAAACATAAATAGATTAAAAAAAATCAGTTAAACAATAAGTCTGACATGCATCTTTATATTTTTGATGTGTTGTAGGATTAGATATGGAATTTTCTCAAAGTTTTACCATCAATTCACTAATATCTGTTTTTATTAACTCTGAGGCAAGCTTTTATAATAACTAACTCTCTGCTTAACAAGCCGTTTAATTTGTAAACGTGACACATTTACGTGAACAGAGAACAGAACGCATGCCGGGATATTTTATGAGCTGTTTTATAAACTCTTGCTTTCACACTGGCTTTTACAGCTCTCTGTTAAACTCCTGGAAACTTCTCTTGATGACAGGAAACGATCCGCCGGGCGAATCCAGACGTAACGGGCACATTTGTCTGGCTCAACAGAAGATGTGCCAGCGACGGCGTGGGTTTCCAGCAACAATGCCGTCTATAGGCTAAACAAGCACGGTCAGGTTCACCAACATGACCGCCCACGTTAAGCTCTGCAGATTTTACAGAAGATTTTCTTAGATTACAAGATCCAAACAAGGCCTGCATGCACAGAGAGCATGCTTCTGCTGGAGGGTCCTTTATCATTAATGAGCTCCTCATGTATTCGTGCAAGTCCCATTCTGAGCTTCCGTCGTTCCCAGCCTCTCCTCCCTCCGACCTGTCAATCAAAGATCACGATTGAGTCAGTCAGTCATCAGCAAAGAGCGTGAGGCCTCATTCCCTTCTTTTGTTGGCCTATGTTTCCTTTCTCACCTTCTCCTTGGCCCCTCCGAGCTTTTCTCCTCCTCTGCTGTCAAATTTTACACATGCAGAAGACACATCATAAACCAGTGAGGACGGTTTGTGGTGTCATGAGAGCAGCTTTTGCTAAATCTTGAAGGAAAAGGCTTGAAATTGCTCCAAAAGTAAGTCAAATTTGGTTTAAATAGGAATTTGTGTTTGCTTTTTAAGTGGCTGATGAATAAACATGAGCAGAGTTGGGCGGGAACTGATGAGAAGAGGTGTGTGTGTGTGTGTGTGTGAGTGTAGAGGCCAACGGAGGAGGCTTTTTTCCCCAGCAGGGCTGCATCGCGTTTAATTGGAGCACTTGTGGCACCATTACCTCCTTTACTCAAACACGCCACTGATGACAAAAGAAAACAGCGCTAAGCCGGCCTTTGTTGGAGTGGAGACTGGACAAGGCCATGGATTCCTCTCATGTGTGGGAATCATCCGCACTCCCACAGCGAGCCGCCTTCCTGAGGAGATGGACAGTATGGAAACTCAGACACGGGCGGGACATGATGGGCCTAGAAAGAAAGCCTGGTGGCATCAAACACTAAAACGTACATTTATTGGTAGATTAGATCATCTCCTGATCAGTTTTCTCAGACTTCCTGGCACGGCATCTGTGCTGTTATGCTTTGCTTTAACAAAGTGAGCGTGACAACGCTGGATAGTTTGTTTTTAGTCACCACAGCATCATATCAGCTGAATAGTGGGGTGACTTTCTTTCTAGTCTGACCCAGCATGAGGGGAAAACAACACAGGTTCTGAACCATTTGTCATTTTAGACCTAAAATCATTCAGGTGGTTTTGTTTTTCGCTGCGTTTTTGCATCAGACTACTAGTCGGACCATTTTTATGAGGCTTTTTGATGATTACTTTCTCATTTTTTGCAGAGCGTGATGGTTAAGCAGCTTTAGAGGTGGCATTTTGGAAGATTTGCGCAAAGTTTGAGTGACGAAATTGAGCACAACTTTATTCCAGAACCTTTGTGCACAAATCATTTGGGACTGATTCCATCCTACAGCAGGATGACATCAAACACGTCTCCAACACGAATCAGCAGGAATCCTTTCTGCAACAGAGCACAGCCATTAGAGATGATCTGGGAAGAAATCACATCATATTACTTGGAAAATTGACGACTAACGGCTGAGGTATTTGCAAGGATAAAATCTGGATTTCCAACTCTGATCATGTCAGGTTCATACACTTTTGAGGGACATTTCAAAACATCACAACAGTTTATTAACAATTCTTTATTTTAAAATCAAAATTTCTCAGTCAAATTACTTGAAACCGTACCACAAACAAACTAACCTCATCAAAATTCACAGAAATGCACTTTTGACAAAATCATTAATTTTTTGTAGCAAAAGAATTGACGTTACCTCTTTAATTCTATGCAGAAATGCATTATTTAATTAATACCAAATACTGGGAGAAAACATGCATGCACAAGGACAACGTGCTATCTCCATGCAGAAAGGCCACAGCCAGGTTTCAAACCAGCAACCTCTCCACAAGGCAACAGTGCACGCAGTCCCTGATGTTAATCACACATTTTAAGCATTTAAAACATTTTTATTGATGTGTTTTTCAACAACAGTGGACTGATGCATCAGCAGATGTTTTTTGAAAAATAGGATTTAAATAAAAATAATGTTTTATGGACATCAAAATGTACGAATATACAAACAAAATGAGGGAAAATTGTTCAAAAGTGTCATCAGATGTTTTTTTTCAAACTGTATGACAGCTATTTTATACATTTTTCTCTATACAGAACAAACAACTCTGTTTAGTGTAAAAATATAAAGAAAGATCGTTTTTCCGAAGAGCAACCAGAAAACATGTCACCACTGAAATAACAAGAAGAGAGAAACACATTTCCAAGAGCAGAACATTTTCTGCCACCTTTGAATTTTTTTAAACCTATAAGCAGAAAAATGAAAATGTGAAAACATGAACAATCTGCCGTGTGCCGCTCGACTGGGTTTGAAGGACAAATAAGAAACTGTGAAGCTTTCAGCTTTGACCATCACACATCTACCTTCAGTTTTTCATGAAATAAATCACGATGAGAGTTTGAACGTTCACAATCTCAGTTTATAACATTTCTTTGGTGTTTAAGAAAATGTGTGTCCAGCAGGAATGTGAAGAAATCCAAAAGAATCCGTGATGAAATCAGCTTCCACTCATGACCGAGGCCTGGAATCCTGATCCATGCTGAAATTTGATTCCAAGCTGAAAAAAAGGTCAAAATAATCCAGATTTTATTTTAAAAATTAGGCTCACAGTTTTATTTCAAGTAAATCTTTGTGTAAGATCTGTTTCTAATTAGGTTTAAATCTGGTCTGATTAGAATCCAGAGCTCAGAATCATAGCTGAGTTTATGGGAGATTAATGGGACTGTATGACTGCTGCATAAATCCAAGGTCAGACAGGTAAAGGAGTTCTGTGTGAACCCCCATCAACAATCGGCTCAGGGAAGTAATTTGTAATCGAGCTGCACGGTGGAAACATTTATGTCTCAATTCTCTCCTGTTGCCTTTAAACACAAACTCATCTAACTGGAATCCTCACAGAAAAAGGAAGAGCTACAGGGACCCGCATCTCCTCCTGACTACGCTGAGCTCTGCTGCCACCAAGAGGCACCTGAACGCAGCACAATTTTCAACACCCACTAAAGACAAAATAAAAGCATCTGCTGCATCTCTTTCTACGATGAGGTTTAATAGTTTCACTCACTGGAACATTTTTGATGGATAAATAAACTCACACATCTTTGTTTTGCATGTGGTTGTTGTACTGGATGTTTGGTATGATGTTCTCCTCGTCGTCTGGCACCTGCAGACAAAATAACAACAACAAAAAACAACAAAATTAGTGATTCGTGATGTTATTGAAAGACCTGGAATTCTTTGATCTTCCACCCTTCATGTCACATCAGCTTGTGTCAGATCTTGAAAGTGACCCTAACCCTCAGTAAAAGATCTTGTGTGATCTGTTAGCACTCAAAGAAACTGTTATTCAGCTATCATCACAGGAATATTGAGCTTGATGTTCTTAAAACAGAATGAGTTGTGGTCAATTTGTATGCCTTCTACAGTCAGTCAGTTATGACATCCATCTTCAACTGGATTGACTCCAAAAGTTAATCAGATTTTGATATAAATCTAATGAGTACTTTCTGAAAACATCATTACCATTTGGACCCAGATAAGAGGATGAATACAAAATGACGGAGAGATTAAACTGAGAATTAAAGATGTCTTGTTTTCAGTTTGTGTAACTTGTTTCTATGTTGGTTGTCCACTAAAAGCTGCAGTACTCCAACTCTCACCTCCCAGTAGGCCTCATCATCAAAGCAGTTGTCATCTGCAGGATCACCCCAGATAGGTAATCTTAAGACCGCACCTGGGAAGGATAAAAACAACAATGTAAACACACTTTTTGTTGTTGTACTCAAACACAGTATAGCATAGCATGGTAGAGTACAGTACAGTACAGTATAGTATGGTATAGTATAGTATGGTACAGTACAGTACAGTACAGAGCAGTAAAGTATAGTAGTTTAATATAAACCTATTTGTGTGTCTTTATTAAGGAAACTACTACTAATATTTATTATTTACTACTAGTACTACTACTACAACAACAACAACTACTACTACTACTACTACTACTACTACTACTGTAGTATAGTGCAGTAGTGTTTATTATGGACCTACAGTATCTGTGTGTCTTTATTAAGGAAACTACTACTACTACTACTACTACTACTACTACTACTACTACTACTATAGCATAGTATACTATGGTAGTGTATAATATAGTACAGTAAAAATGGTACAACATAGTATAGTATAGTGTAGTGTAGTGTAGTGTAGTGTAGTGTAGTATAGTATAGTATAGTATAGTATAATAAGAGTATGGTACAACACAGTGAAGTATAGTATAGTATAGTATAGTATAGTATAGTATAGTATAGTAGAGTGTGATACAGTATGGTACAGTACAGTACGGTATGGTACAATACAGCAAAGTATAGTATAGTATAGTATAGTTGTCATGAGCCCCAGCTTACAGCACTCCAGCTCCACTCCCTCAGCCAAGCCACCAGCCCCCTAATCTCCTTCACCTGCTCCATGCAATCACCTCATCCTGCTCACCTGGTTCCACAGCTATATATTCACCAGCCAGCCACCAGGTCCCTGCCTTAGGGTGGGTTCTGTGTTGTCATTTTCTGTGGGGGTGGAGAATGGGGTTCCTCAGGGGATTGTGATTAGCCCGGTGCTTTTTAATGTCATGGTCAATAGCTTGTTTGACTCCTTGGGTGGTGATGTGGGGAGGTCCTTGTTTGCTGATGATGGGGCATTTTGGAAGCGGGGCCGGGACCTCCCGTTTCTTTTCTGCAGGGTACAAGACGGCTTGGATGGTGTGGTGGCTTGGTCGAGGCACTGGGGTTTTAAAATGTCCCCGTCCAAGTCCAAGTACATGGTTTTTGGGTTTAAGCGGATTGTCCTGTCGGTGGGTTTGCTGTTGGGTGGGTTGCTGCTGGAGCGCCTGTCCTCTTTTAAGTACCTGGGCATATGGCTGGATGAACGGCTGATATGGGTTGTTCATGTTCGAAGCCTGGAGGCCAGGTGTGGACAGGTCTTGAATGTGATGTGGTGTTTGGCTGGGACGGATTGGGGGGGTGAGCCGGTGCACCTTGCTGATGGTGTACTGGAGTGTGTTCAGGTCAGCACCTGGATTATGGGTGTTTCCTGTATGACTCGGCTGCCCCTACTACCCTGAGGAGGTCGGATGTTTTGCAGGCGGCGGCTGTGAGGGTTTGTAGTGGGGCATTTAGGTCGACCCTAGTTGCTGCCCTTCTGGTCGATGTGGGTGAGATGCCCTTGGAGTTTCGACAAGTCAAGCTGGGACTCCGGTACCTGTTGAGGGTCAGGGGTATGAGTGATGCTTCTACTGCATCGGGCCTGTTGGACCAGCATTGGGAGTTTGGAGGGCAGGGTCAGTTTGGTGAGGGTGGATTTTCTGCCCAGTTGCGGGACAGAGCGGACGCCTTGGGCTTCCTAGGTTGGCCTATCTGTTCGCGCCTGGTCTGGTCTGATGTTCCGCCCTGCCTTCTGCCTGTACCGGAGGTGGATTTTACCTTTTTGGGGCGGTGCCGTGATGGTGGGGTGGCTGGTGCTTTTCAGTATTTTATGGGGTTGGAGTGGGACTCTCATTTGCAGCTGTATACGGACGGCTCTAAGGATCCTGATAGTGGTCGGGTGCCGGTGGGTTTGGTAGTCCTGCACCTGTGCTTCAGCTTTGGTTATCGGCTCCGGGACCATTGTTCCATGTTCACGGATGAGTTGGTGGCTATCTTATGTGCCTTGTGTTGGGTGAAGGAGCGTGTCCTGGAGGGTGCTGTTATCTGCTCTGACTTGGCAGCTGCGTTGGAGGCTCTGTCAGGGTCAGGCTCTGGCTCTAGGCCAGACCTGGTGATGTCTACCAGGGTGATGCTGCATGATCTGTGGGCTCGTGGCTGTGAAGTTTGTTTTCTTTGGGTTCCTGCCCATGTGGGGGTGGTGGGCAATGAGAGGGTGAACTCTGTGACCAAGGCGGTGCTGAGGTGTACTTTTGTGGACCTGGAGGTTGCCATGGGCTCCCCTGAGTATTGTTCAGCGATAGGCAGGGAGGCAATGAGATAGTGGCAGGCATCGTGGGATGGTGAGGTGGTGGGTAGGGGCTTTTATGGGTTACATCGTTTGGTGGGCGGCTGTGGGTCGGTCCTTGATCTTCGGAGGAGATTGTGACGCTCTCAGGCGGTGTGTGTTTGGGCGGCTGTGGCAGCAATACGCCTCATGGGCGTCTAGCCTGCCTCCCTCACTGAAGTAGAAGAAGCAGTTCCCTGCCAGATTATTGAACGCTTTTTGCCAGTAGATTCTCCAGCACTCTAAACCCTGCCTGAACCAAAGATCCTGACCTCGCTTCTGAACCTCGACCTACCCACGTGCCTGCTCCCTGACTGGATTATCTCATAGCTTCTGATCTTCTGGACCCCTCTGCTTCACAGACTCTGCCTCTGGATAACCCCTCCTGCTTTTGTCTCGGATCTCCCCGGCTCTGACCCTTAGCTCGTCCTGACCAAGCCTCTGCCTGCTTCCTACAGTCTGGGTAATAACAGTCAAGCCCTGACTCCAGCAAAAATAAACTTGTTCAAATTGCCTTACTGTATTTGGTGTTTTCACGGGTCTCCAAGTCTGTTCAGCTCCATAGTATAGTATAGTAGTGTAGTTTAGAGTATATTACAGTATGGTACGGTATGGTACAACACAGTGAGGTATAGTATAGTATAGTAGTGCAGAGTATATACGTAATACAGCATGATATGGTACAACACAGCGAGGTATAGTATAGTGTAGTAGTGCAGAGTATATAATACAGCATGATATGGTACAACACAGTGAAGTATAGTAAAGTAAGGTTTATGTGAGGTGGATTCCCTACCGACCAAGATGCCGCCGCCTATACCGAAGATCAAAGCCACACAGAGGGCTCCTGCCTGGTGTCCTCCCTGAACCGTGGGTACCATGTCCTTGAATTCATCTTTAAAGTCAAAGGTGTTCACCAAGCTTCAATATAAAAAGGGAAGAGCTTTCAATCTTTTTGTTAAACGTTTGTTTATTTTTGAGTCACCAAACTCCTCTGGCTGCAGGTTTCTTGTTTAATTACACAGAAGGACTCACCCCTCATGGCTGTAGACCGTATCTGAAGCAGCTGCTGCAGTGATGGCTCCGACAACACCCCCAAGGAATCCTGGCATGGCGTGAAGGTTGTGAATCCCACATGTGTCTTGGATCTTCATGTGCTTCTCCAAGAATGGCTGGAGGAACCAAATTAGGTTGTTGATTTAAAAAAACAAACAAACATAGTTTTATGTCCAGGTGAATGAAAGTCAGAGGTCATACCGTAATGAAGACATATCCAAGCGTGGACAAAACACCACAGCAGAAGCCGACAATAAGGGACCCATAAGGCGTCAGCATGAACTCTGCAGCTGTTCCTACTGCCACACCTCCAGCTAGGGTGGAGTTCTGGATGTGAACCTGAGACAGACCCAAATAACACAGGCAATGAATTCATTTTAAACATTTTATCTTAAAGTTATGTTGTGGTTTGGTTTGTTTCATATTCACCATGTCTAATTTTCCATGTTTCTGGAAGAGGCTTGAAAGAGCAAAAGTGGTGAGCACAGTTGCAGCCAAAGACAGGTAGGTGTTGATGAAGGCTCTGTGCTGCCCATCACCATGACCCGCAATGGCTGAGTTGAAGCTGGGCCAGAACATCCACAGGAAGAGGGTTCCTACAAGGAGAATGAGGGGAGTTAAAACGATTATATCTATCAGAAGTAGTTTTGCATGCAGCTGAATCTAGCTCACCAATCATGGCGAAGACATCTGAATGGTACTTTGAGCCCTGCAGACGAGAGCTCTGGTCCAGGTTTGGTCGGTAGAGCATCCACGATATGGCAAGACCATAATAACCTCCAAAAGTGTGGATCACCATGGAGCCTCCAGCATCTCTGGCCTTCATGGAGAAAATATATCCATGAGAGGAAAATAATAGTAGAATCCAATAAAAGACATTAAGTGTAAAAAAAAAAGGGCCACTATTGTTTTTGTGGGTCTTTGGCACATTATTTTTCTCAATCTTAAACATTTTCTCCAGACTTACATGTATGATTTTGATGATGATATGTTCCTCCACAGCATAAAGTGTAACCCCAAACAAAGTCAGGACCAACAGCTGGACCGGGCTGACTTTACCCAGCAGCGCTCCGTAGGCGATCAAGCAGCCGGCCACGCAGAAATCTGCATTGATGAAGCTGAAGAAAAGGAAATATGTGAAATTTAAAGAATCCAAACAACAGGGGTTTTAATACACATGAATGAAACTGAGTTCATTAAGTCTGAGCTGAACAAACTCTACAACCTATACAAGAAAGGGTGCTTTTATTAATGCCAAATACAAACATATTGATTTCCTCACTGTTTTCTGCAAACAAAAATCCACATATCACACTGTTCAACGCACAGTGAGTTGACTGCCATCCAACAGTATCACCCTGTCATTGTAGCCAGACTTTTTATTTATTTTCTACTCTCAAAGCAATAAATCTAATGCACAGGGGGGCATCTTTCTGGGAATTAGGCAGTTAGACTGGTTTGTCCGTCTTGATTTACAAGCTAAATGCATGCAATAAAAATTCACCGGATGGATTTCCAACCAATAACAATGATGATTTAAAAACGTTAAAGGTCTGAGTTTTATAATCTGAGCGTTTACTTTTCAACTCCAACTTTGATCTTCCCATCACTGTAATCCAGGGAGCCGAACCAGCCCTGCATCAGCAGAGCCCACTGGATGCCGAAGGCAGCGATCAGGAAGTTGAACCCCACCCCGCCGAAGCTGTACCGCTTAAGAAACGTCATCAGGAAACCAAATCCAACAAAAATCATCACATGGACATCCTGGAAACCTGCAGGAGGAGACCAGAGTGGTTCAGTGGAGGTTAAATATGGAGGGGTCGGAGGTCAAACCTCACTGCCCTTTTACAACTATAACAGACATGTTAAAGTTTTTCCTTTTTACAAATAGTTTTACATTATTTAGTTCCTTAATGTTTGTTATGAACACTGGACAAACTAAATAATGTAAATAGTTTTCATGTGTGCTTTTTTCTTGGTGTTAACATAAAGTCATTAAAAAAAGAAACACAAATGCATAAAGTACAGGTGTTTTATAGTTTTTTTTCACTTTCGGTTTTAATTCAAATACTTAGGGAACTGTGCCAAAACTTTTTTTCTGTTTGTGTTTTAAAGCTACCTGTTGTCAGATGTTCGAATAGAAATAATGACAATACAGGTGCACCTCCCAATGAATACAGCTATAAATTCTTGGTGGAGTTGATATGGAAAAACACCTTCCTGACTTCCAAAGAACATGGAGGTAGGGGGGAATAAATAAATGTGATGTTCTAAAAGCCATAGCCAGATCATACAAAGAATACTAAGTGGTGATTTTGTTTCCTAAAAACCCTGAACAAGAAAATGACAAAAGAAGCCAATGCCTTACAAAAGTTTGAAACAATTTGGAGAGAGAAACCATCCCGAGGACAATGATTGTTTAACAAACTAACAGAAAGCTGAGTCACTGAACAAACCTATACATTTCTGTGTTTTAACAAAATACTGCAGCAGAGATCAGATATACCCCCCCCCCCCAAAAAACAAACAAACAAACAAACAAAACAAAAACAACAACAAAAAAAAGGTGGTGGAAGCATCATTGTTTTGTTCAGCTTTGCTAATCCAAAACCTGAACGAATGTCCTCAAGGAAAAACTGGATCAGGACAAAATGTCTTCTCAGCAAAAAAATTATCATGTTGATAAACATTTTTCAGTATGCAAAGTGCTTTATTTATCCATGAGTCTCAGTGACAGCCTGCTTCGTTTAACTACAGCCGTTGTTTTAATGATTGCTTACATGATCCCTGCAGAAAGAATTTTTGATAGAGTTAGATATGCAGAGATTAAGCTAAATGTCAAAAACCAGTTTAGACTGCATAAAGTTTGCATTTTCAACATGCATCCAAAGGGACATGGATGGGACATGGGAGGAGAATCAGCTCCCTCTAAATCCGAAACCATGGTCTTGAGTCGGAAAAGGGTAGAATGCCTTCTCCGGGTCAGGGATGAGGTCCTGCCCCAAACGGAACCGTTTGAGTATCTCAAGAGTCTTGTTTACGAGTGCGAGAAAGATGGATCGGAAGATCGATGGGTGAATTGATGCCGTGTCTGCAGTGATGCAGATGTTGTACCATCTGTCGTGGTGAAAAGAGAGCTGAGCCAGAAGGCAAAGCTCTGGATTTACCGGTCGATCTACGTTCCTACCCTCACCTATGGCCATGAACTTTGGTTAGAGTCCAAAAGAATGAGACTACGGATACAAGCAACTGAAATGAGTTTTCTCCTCAGGGTGGCTGGGCTCTCCCTTAGAGATAGGGTGAGAAGCTCGGTCATCCAGGAGGGGCTCAGAGTAGATCCACTCCTGCACATCAAGAGGAGCCAATTGAGGTGGTTCGGGCGTCTGGTCAGGATGCCTCCCTGGTGAGGTTTTCGGGGCAGGTCGAACTGGGAGGAGACCCAAGGGAAGACCCAAGACACACTAGGGGGGGGGGGGGGGGGACTATGTCTTTTGGCTGGCCAAGGAGCACCTTGGGATTCCCTTGGAGTTGCTGGCCCAAGTGGTTTAGGAGAGGGAAGTCTCTGCTTAGAATGCTGCCCCCACAACCCGAACCTGGATAAGTGGATGAAAATAGATGGATGTGTGGATGGATACATCCATAATACAGGTTAGCATAAGGGTGTGTAGATGAGAGGGGCATTGTGTGAAGACAACTCAAGGACACCTGAGATGGTGTGTGGTTTTATTAGGAGGCTTAGTGGAAGCAGCTTTATCTGCAATACTGAGCAGATATTGAGTTAATCCCTTAATATGCAACTTGTCGGGAGAAAACCAGATGGCAGAATTATAAAAATTTTTTTTTACAAGTATTCTAAAATGTATTAATATACCAAGCTTGTTGTAATTTACTTTAATTATAGACATGAGGACTTTTTTTCTGCTAGAATTACATGGACACCTGCATCTACCTGTGATTTTCACTTATGACACACCCCAGGGTGCAATACATGTCGGTACTTTGTGAACCACTGTAGGCTTTAAGTTTGCAACAAACACATCATTGTCACTGCTTTTCTTTTGTTTTGTTTTTGTCTCGTTTTTAAAGAAAACCAGTACTTCAAGCTTTTTCTTCAATTCAGTGTGATGCTGTTTAATATCCAATTATCACAACAGTAGATCTTTTAGCCATCAGAAACAGAATGGTGTCAGCGTGAGAAATTATGTACTGTCACCCAACACCTTAAAAATGAGATGGAATTGTATTTTGATACTGACACCCCGGAGATGATGAAGGTAAGGGGGAGAGCACAACCGCACCCAGAAATTCAAAGAAAAATTATTCAGATGCACAAATGTGAACCCGAACAACTCACACACTAACTGTACGATGAGATTTAGGCTTTCTTAAAACAAAAGTACTGTTATAGTGAACAAGTCAGCTGTTATGACATTAAAGGCCTCAGTGGAGTCAACCCCCTGGGAGGTATTCCACCTGCAGGTGTCGGATCTTTGTCAGGAACTTGGAACAATAATGCAAAATCACAATGTGAGGACTGTCAATTAGAAAAAAATGAAAGTTATAATAATAATATATATTTTTAAGCTTTTGTGTCCAGAAATAAAGAATTAGCAATGATAATTCAGAAATAATATGTTACAAAAGAAAGATGCATAAATTCACTTACTTGGATACCTGTAGTAGAAATCATTCTCTATGTCACTTAAATTATGCTTGCTCTCGGCCCAGTGTGCATCTGATTCCCAGTTGTATCGGATAAAGACTCCAAATAAAATGATCATGGCTATTTCCCACACCACACAAACCGCAGGAAGACTCAGACGAATGTTGGTATTTTTTGTGCGATCACACATCTCCCTGAAGCTCTGAACACCCCCCATAATTTTAGATTAGTTAAATCTCCCCACCCTAAATATGTGAAGAGCCGTTCTGCCAGAGCATCTTCAAGCTGAAGTTCTGATTTAAGGGAGTCTGGGCTGAGGACACTCCCAGAGCAGCTCCTCCCACTCTGCATAAGGAACGAACCTGACTCTTTTTCAGGGACACTTGAATGAACGATATTTTCAAATTGTAGTGGTTTGTTTTCATTATCAACAACATCAACAGCTTCTGAGGAAATGTTGTCAGAGGAAATATGATTCATGTCCTCATGAAAAAAAGGGACCATCTCTATTTACAGAGTCATTTTTATAGGATAGTCTCCCCTATATCCATCTACTGAAGTTACAAAAGGTTATGGTCAACTCCCAACCTCCTCCCTTAATACAAACACTCTTTGCACGTCAGTAAGTGTCAACAGCAGCTTCTATAAAACATGTCCCATCTGAGCATACAGATGGGTTTCCACACCTACTTTATTTTTCTTTCTTTATATCACAGGGTGGAGATCTTCTGATCTCTATTCTAAACACGAGTGTGCTGTGTTCACCATAAAAAATAAGCATGACAAGTCGGATGAAGTTAACCATCAGACGGAGACTGAGACTGGTGTTCAACATCTACAAAACAATAATAAACAATTATCTTCTTAGTTTGATGTTCCAAAGGAGTTCAGTGGTCTTTGAAATGTGAAAATTGTGTAAAATAATGTGAATAAATTGAGATAACAAAATGTTGTTTGCTATAGACCAATGACAAAACAACGTTATAATGGATGATTTGTGAGGATGCTTGAGCTATCCATCTGTCCGTCCATCAACATGTTCCAGCTCCTTCTAGAGGAACCACTTGGGTTGACTTCTTTTGATGAGATGCAGTGGCTCTTATCTGAGCTCCTCACCTGACAGAGGAAGCTCATGTCAGTCACTTGAAGTGTTTTAAAGCTGCTTTAGCGAATCTACAGAACAAGCTAAGTTTTGAATGCAAACACGATCGCGGAACACTCACCCCTCCCCTCGGGGATCATCCTTGAGACGCTTCTCGAACCGGAAACCAGAATTCCAAGAGGAAACAAGATACCGCTAAACACCAGTTGTCGTTTTCTTTTAGGTCCAAACATCTTTTACCGTCCGTGACTTCAAATGGTGTTTTTCTTTTTGGGACTCTGGTAGTTTGTCCTAAAGTTGAAGTGGTAGCAGCCGGCTGTTTCTCCTCTGATATTATTGAGTGGAGAACCTCTCACACCAGCGGTGTTCTGTTGCTAAATGCACATGTGTGTAATTAATGGAGGACCCAGGGAAGTGTGCAAGTGCGGCGGTTCAGCCGGACCAGCAACCGAATGGTCCAGTCATTGCTTTCGGATGGTCCAATTGCTGCTTTGGTCCTAAACGTGTCATTGTTGGTTTTTAGGCAAATGCGAGAGAGACGTTTTATTAAAAAAAATTCTTCTCATTTTTTTTAAAGCTAAGACATTCTAACGTAGTATAGCAAAATTAATCTGAAGATGTTAAGTGATGTTTAAATGCTATATTAAAAAATCAACGCTGATATGACTGTGGGTCTCAGAAAGATTAAATCTAGGGTTTCATGTTGAACATAAACGACTTCTATACCTCTTCTTTCACACCATACATACGTAACTCTATCTCTGCTCCTCTAATCCCTGAACAATACTTTTCTAGTAGCCTGATAGAAACGTCACACGGAGACAAGCAGTTCTGGGACACTACAGACACTCTCCAAAGGTGTTCCGACATGTACCACCAAACGTACACCACATCACAGTGAAGAGTCTGAATGTATCCACTGAAGTAATGAAGCATTTCTGAAAGTCAGCGTCTCAAACACCATGCCATGAAAGTCAAACACACGACACTTGAACAAACACAGAATGTCATGTGCTTGTTTTGCTTTCATGTCACCGCGACAACAAATCCGCTAAGCTGCAAGATAAATCTTATGACGAAAAGACAAGTTTGTTCAAAATAAAGGACAAAAATGGATCCCTGCAATGAAAATTCACCTAAAGAATAAAGTGTATACAAAAGGAACATGTAGGCATGGGTTAATCTCTCCTTGATGAGAATGGATGAGTAGGTAAATGCTCAGTCATCCTGCAGCTTAGTTAACGCTGCTACCTTGGTGATGTTACTCTGGCAGATGATGTGATTTTCTGGGGTGATTTGCAGCATAGATTCTCCTTTAAGCTCTATAGTCACACTTGGTGTAAAAATACAAATCTAATATTTACTGTCTGGGTTTAATGTGCATGCTCTGCAATATTGTCACTGTTCCTTTGGTGCAAAATAAGATATGCAATTTTATTCCATATCTGTTACCAAAGTTAATCTGAAGAAAACATACAAATGGATGTTAATTTTAACTTGCTTTGGTCTTAAACCCATTTTACTGTACTTTCCTTGTAAAATCAGTTTTTAATCTCTTTTAAATATTATACCATTTTATGACTCTATTAATACCCATTATTTAGGTTTGTAATATTCTCGGCTTTTTAACCAATAATCAAAGCATTACATGGATTTGGGGTTTATAAATATTTGTGATTTTAGGTTTATAAAAATAAATTCCATTTCATCAGAAACTTCTCAAGTCTCTTTGACATATAAGAATTTAAATGTGTCCTTAATGGAAATCGTTGTGCCTCCATAAACATTTATGAACGGAACACTGATCTTAGTTTAGTCTGTAAACAAGCAGCACCAAAAATCAACCATCATCATAAGGGACCTCATGAGGCTGGAGGACACCAACGAGTTTAGTGTTACTTTCTCTATAAACTTTACAGTTCTCACCCATGAGGGAACATATTTTGCCTCAACAAAAAGTTACGAAACACACAACATCAATGCATCTTTGTTCACTCTTGAAGAACAAACCAAGAAAGACAGAAAAAAAGTGTTTATTAGCAGTAAAAGGCAGTAAAAGGCATCAGAGTTGATAAAAACCTTGATTTCACAGAAGAAATGCCAAAACAATCCTGCTGTTTTGTTTTGACATAACTTTCATTAATCAGTTAAACCAAACAGGTATTAGTTTAATTTGACTAAATATGTCTGTAACCTTTATGCCAATAAAGGCAGTGAAACATTCAGTACATCGAGGTGTACACATACAGCAACAGTGGAAAACAGAAGCTTTCGTCACTACTTGGATTCTGGTGTGAAGATCATGACTAATGTTAATTGACCGCAGCAAAGAAAAGCTCAAGGCCAAAAGGGTAAAACACAATATAGACTTTTGAGTTTCAAACAAACTGCCTTTAAAAAGGTGAAAGAAATACTGATTGTAGGACTTGAGGTACAGTCAGTAAATGATTATTTGTTATGACACCAATAAATGATCAGAGAGCTTCTGTTCCAACATTTGGAACTCGTCGTCAGGTAGAAGATATCTCTGTACTATACTGATTACATCTCCTTCTGTTGCAGACTCGTAGTCCTCCTTGTTCTTAAACGGTAAATGTCCAGCCAGCTCACAAAGAGCAACGTTAAAGGCAGATTCCTCTTTGGCGCCGAAGCAGGATTTTCTGGGCCAAACTGCGACCCTCACACCGTTTCTTAAACAAAGATCCTTCGTGTTCTGTATGTGTTCGTAAGGCGGACATCCTCTGGTCAGGAACACATTGTGAGCAACGTTCTCACCAACAAGAAAGTCTGTGACTTGACAGATTGTTCTTGCTACTTCCTCAACCTCCTCTGACTCTGTGTAAAACAAAAATCCTGCAGGGAAATCCTTGATGCGATAAAATCTTTTTTCAGGAACCAAAAGCTTCACTGTGCTGGATTCTACCTTGAGCTCATGGTCTAGGTAATACCCATGAAGGTGTAAATGATTGACAGATGCGAAAGCTCCGAGACTATTGAACCCCACACGAAAGCCGGGGTGAGAGCTCATGAGCACGGACTCGATACCTACTCGGATTGCGGTTTTTGTGAGGACCTGTGGGTAGCAGTGTGAGGGATGTGGAACAAAGAGACAATGTCCAAACTCTAGTGGGCTTACATTGATCAGTACAACCACCCTGCAGGGTTGAGGCCACTCTCCATCTTCATCTGCACCCTTTAGCATCTCACATATAATTTCATCAGGGTTAATTTTGTTAAAATTAAACTGTCTGGGATTAAACTCCTGCTTAATACTCAGAATCTCCTGTGGCTTCCTTCTCTCTATACCCCGCTTAATGTTTAGCTGCGCCACATACCCATGAGGGCCTGGCAGGATGCGAGTTTCTAAATCACCCAGACAGTAGCGGAAGAGTCCCTGGTCCATCCTGTCTGCCCAGCCTTCTCGGATGATTACATCAAAGCTTGTAGGTGGTGGAGGCGCCATGACAGGATAGTTCTCACTGCTCCGATGCACATCTCTGACAAAGTCCTGATGACTGTACACGAACTGAAGCAGCATTGTCAGATCTGTCAGGAACCAGAATAACAAGGAAATCTGAGCGAATACACTTTAAAAATGCCCAACAGAAGCAACATTACTACATATATATTTTTAGTTTGATTCATAAACAGTAAAGTTGTTTATTTATGATAGAAAAAATTTAATAAGTCTACAAATTACATCTTTACAAATATCAATGTCCTATCTTACACTAGGGCTCACTCGATTATGAAGCATTTTTAAGTTTTAAAACTCATTATCTGCATTTTATGTTTATTAACGATGTAAACAAAACCAGACTCAGTCAAGTTCGGGAAATGCTAGCTCTAAAATCAGGGTCTTATGTTTCCAAGGTAAATTTGCTAAACTCGGCAGCTTTCTAACTGAAGATTTTACAAAGTGCTTCTGTTTGTTTCATTTAAAGACACAGAATAACCCTTTAAACGTGTTGGTCACCTCACCTCTGCATTTAACTCAGAACTGAAGTTATTGTCTGAATGCCACGACTGACTTCGGTTGAATGAGCTGGCTTGAAGCACTCATGCTAGCTCTGGCTGGGGCTAGCTGATCTGGTGCTCACTTCCGTATTTTTGTCACATGCCCGGCCATTTCCGGTTTCTTCCAAATTAAAGTTCAAAATAATTAAATAAATTTAAAATACCATTGATAATTATTAGATAAATAATTAAACGATTCCAACAAATAACAATAAATAAAAATGTCTACTGCAACATTTTCTTTTGTTTTATTTTCCTTGTTTGCCTGCTTTTTTTAAGTGTGTCAAAACAAAATGATATGTTTTGCATATTGCATGCTTTAATAACTTAACCTCTTAAAGCTAAGATGAATATTTTTGTAACCCACATATGCACTCACATAAAGGTCCCTCACTCTGATAAATGCAAAACTGTTTTGACTATTTTATAATTTCTGAAGTAATGATATTATGGTGTCATTTCTAACTGCTGAATAACCTTCCTGCTCTAAAGCCTGACTCATATAGTCTAAAGTGAATTTGAGAGAATGAGCAGCTGTCCAATCTGGCACCAAGATTATTTTAGTCTCTGCAGGCTCATAGAGCTAAAAGCAGACAGTGAGTTGCAGAGCTGGACGTCGACTGACGAATTTAACAGTTCACCACAGCTGAAGTTTCTTCACTAGCTCTGAGAGCAAGGAAAATTTTAGTCCACTTTCAACATAACTTGAATTCAAAAAGATGGAAACAACCAAAAAGGAGGTAAGTACAACTGTGTTTTGAATAATTGTCTTGTGTATTGTGTTAAACTTGCTTTTAATGTGGCCCGTTGATGAGCTGGGTGACAAAAGCATTTTTGTAGAAAGACATTTCTTGTCTTTAATGTAAAATGATTAAGAAGAAATTCAAAAGTAAAAAAAAAAACCAATAAACTTTAATGCAGAGCAAATGTCAATCTGCTCTAATGAAATCCAGAGCTATTTTTATCATCACAGTGTTTTGTTAACCTGACCAGTTCTGAAACTCGTGTAATGAGGTTATTGTAAACCAGTTTAATGCAGGTTTTGATATAGCTTATGTTTCAAAGAGGAGGAAATAAAATGGTTTGCAAAGATAACATGGATGTTTGCTTGTTTTTAATCTAAACCTTTTGATTTGTTTGTACCACTTCCTCTTGTAGATGAAAATCAGAGTTGAAGACAACACTCAGACTCCAAATATAACCATGACAGAGGATTCTAAAGTAGGAGTCTCATTGTCCTCCCAGGGCTTGTCCCAAGGTATGCAAGTGCATTCAGCCTGTTTTCATATGAGAGGCCATTTTATTTTTAAAATATTTAGAAAAATTTAAACATAAATTCACAAGCGTTGTATGTTTAAGTACGGAATATACTGTACATTCATTATTTATCATTAAAACTATCAAAAACTTTTTGTAACCTTAAGTTTATTCAACAGATTAACGTGTACATCCAAAGGTATTTGTTGTTTCAGCTGCGACTGATTGAATTGCTACACGTTAAACATTGCTTGTCTTTTTTTCACCCCAGGTCATCCAGATTCCTCTGCAGAACATCCTCAAAATAACCTCCAAGTCCAATCTGCCTCTGTGACAGATAAGGAAGATGCTATTAAGCCAAAACTCCAGATAAGTTTGAGTACATTCACAATCAAGAATGGTGAAGATCTAAAAATAGAGATTCCAATCACCGGGCACCCTGCGCCAAAGATTGAATGGAAACAAGATGGTCAGGCCGTTAAGGAAACTTCAAGGCTAGAGCTTATAACAAAAGCATCACTGACTGTCCTTCATATCAGACATGCTGCCAGGGAGCACTCTGGTCGGTATTCTGTCATAGCGAGCAACAATGCGGGAAAATGCACTGGAGAAGTTGCTGTGGTTGTTCTTGAAAGACCAGACCCACCAACAGGTCCAATAAAGATTGATGAAGTCAGCTCTGACTATGTGATTATCTCTTGGGAGCCACCAGAATACACTGGGGGCTGTCAGCTTGACAACTACATAGTAGAGAAACGAGAAATCACAAGCACAGAGTGGCAGACTGTGTCAGCAACAACAGTAAGAACCACAATCAAAGTTACTAAACTGAAGACAGGAAATGAATACCAATTCAGAGTGTTTGCAGAAAACAGGCATGGAAAAAGCACAGCCATAACCTCCCCAGTTGTAATGGCCCAATATCCATTTAGTGTCCCTGCTGCTCCTTGCACTCCCTATGCATCCACAGTGACCAAGTACAGCATGGTGGTCGAGTGGGAGCCTCCAGCCAGAGATGGAGGAAGCCCTATTATCGGCTACATCATTGAACGTAAAGAGAAGAACAGCATTTTATGGACCAAGCTGAACAAATTCCTTCTATCCGACACTCGCTTCAAAACAAGTGGCCTGGAAGAAGGTATTGAGTATGAATTCAGAGTCTTTGCAGAAAATGTTGCTGGTTTGAGTCCATGTAGCAATACATCTGAATGCTATGTGGCAAGAGATCCCTGTGATCCACCTGGAAAACCCGAAGCTGTTGTAGTGACCAGAGACAGCATCACACTTCAGTGGGAAAAACCCAAATATGATGGTGGAAGCACGATTACAGGGTATGTTGTTGAAAAGAAGGAGCAGCCTGATGGCAGATGGATGAAGGCAAACTTTACTAACGTTATTGAGAATCTCTTCACAGTTACAGGTCTGACAGGAGGTCAAAGTTACGAGTTTAGGATAACTGCTAGGAATGGCGCTGGTGTTTGGAGTATTCCATCAGAAAGTCTAACCATTCTCGCTCAGGACGTTATTGAAGCGCCCACTGCATTTATTAATCCTCAGTTTAAGAGTACCACTGTTCAAGCAGGGGAAAACTTTGTTGTTGATGCTGATTATTATGGGAAGCCTCTTCCAGAAGTTAGATGGCTAAAAGACGGAAAAGAAATCGAGAAAAGTACCCCAAGAATGGAGATAAAAAGCACCATCACTCATACAACCCTCACAGTTAGGGACTGCACACGTGTGGATGGCGGACACTATGTCCTGAGCCTCAGTAACCTTGGTGGAGCGACCTCTATTTCCGTTAATGTTAAAGTCTTAGATAAACCTGGTCCTCCTGATGGACTTCTGAGGGTGAAGGTTGTGAGTGCGGAAAAGTGCAATCTCCACTGGAGTCCCCCTCTAAACGATGGAGGCTCCACTATCACCCATTACATCATTGAAAAAAGAGAGACCAGCCGAGTCACGTGGACAGGAGTAGACCCTCACGTTGAAGCTGTGAGTTACAAAGTGACAAAACTGGTGCCTGGCAAAGAATACATTTTCAGAATTGCAGCAGTGAATAAATTTGGTGTTGGTGAATTCCTGGAATCTGAGCCTTTTGTTGCACAAAATCCGTTTAAAACACCTAGTGCACCTTCAACTCCTACAGCCAGCGCTGTGACTGGTGACTCAGTAGTACTGACGTGGGAAAGGCCTGAGAGTGATGGAGGCTCAGAGATAGATGGCTACATCCTGGAGAAGCGTGACAAAGAAGGCGTCCGATGGTCCAAATGCAACAAGAGGAGGGTAAATGACTTGCGTTTTCGATGCACGGGGCTTGTAGAAGGACATTACTATGAGTTTAGAGTTCTTGCAGAAAATGCTGCTGGTGTGGGTGCACCTAGTGAGCCAAGTGAGTATATAAAAGTGTGTGAGGCCACTTACCCTCCTGGCCCGCCTACTAACCCTAAAGTGGTGGATTATTCCAGCAGTTCTGTTTCTCTGACTTGGTCAAAACCCATCTATGATGGTGGAGCGACCATCAGTGGATTTGTTGTTGAGATGAAAGAAGTAGCAGACGATGAATGGATCGCATGCACTCCATCTGCAGGTGCACAAGACACCAGCTACACAGTGACGACACTGAGAGAAAATTCAGAGTACAACTTTCGTTTAAGTGCAAAAAATTCTGCCGGAGTTGGCGAGCCTGTTGATCTGCCTGGGTCAGTTGTAGCAGCTGCTAAATTAGAGGCACCAGAAATTGAGCTGGACTCTGCTCTAAGGAAGATCGTTAACGTGCGAGCATGTTCCACCTTACGACTCTTTGTGACCTTCAGAGGAAGACCAGAGCCTGAAATCAAATGGTCTAAAGAAGGTGGCATTCTAAGTGAGAGTGCTCAGATTGAAGTAACAAACTCCTTCACTGTTTTACTGATAGAGAACGTCAACAGAAATGACAGTGGAAAGTATGTGTTAACGGCTGAGAACTGCTGTGGCTCCAAATCGACATTCATTAATGTTAGAGTCATGGACTCTCCCAGTGCGCCAACAAATTTAGAAATAAAGGATGTGAAGAGGGACTCTGTTTCCATCTCCTGGGAGCCACCTCTTATCGATGGAGGAGCAAAGATTTCCCACTACATCGTGGAAAAGCGAGAGGAGTCTAGGATGGCGTTCACAAGCGTCAACAGCAACTGTGTGAGGAATTTTTACAAGATTGACAATCTACAGGAAGGTTGCTTCTATTGCTTCCGTGTCCTTGCAGTTAATGAATTTGGCACTGGATTGCCAGCAGAGACTCCCGAGGCGGTTAAAGTATCCGAGGCTCCTTTGCCCCCTGGCAAAATCACTCTCAGCGATGTAACTTGCAATGGTGCAAGACTCTCTTGGGAGAAGCCTGATCATGATGGCGGAAGCAAAATCACATGCTATATTGTAGAAATACAAGCCAAGGGAGAAGATACGTGGATGAAATATTCAGAGAGTAAAGCACAAGAGGTTCTTGTTAATGGGTTGATACAAGGAAAAGAGTACTTCTTCAGAATAAGTGCTGTGAATGAAAAGGGAACGAGTGAACCAAAATCCCTGTTGACGCCTGTTATGGTGAAAGACACTAGTGCTGAGCCTGTTATTAACCTGCTCACCAATACGTTTAGTGTAAAAGCAGGAAATGATCTGAAGATCGATGTTCCATTCAAAGGTGTGCCATCACCAACTGTGGTCTGGAAAAAAGAGGGCAATTTGCTGAAAGAGACAAGCAGAGTAAATGTACATACATCTGAATCGATGTCTCAGATTACTATCAAAGATGCATCCAGAATTGATCTTGGTGTGTATGAAGTAATCCTGACCAACTCTATTGGAACGACATCAACCGAAATCTTTGTGAGTGTTTTTGAAAGGCCCGGACCGCCAAGTGACCTCGCAGCAGATGAAGTGAGTGCTGACTTTGTGTCGCTGTCATGGCAGCCCCCACTTTACACTGGTGGGTGTCAGATAACTAATTACGTTGTTGAGAAACGAGACACTGGCAGCTCATTATGGCAGACTGTGTCAGCAACAGTGGCGAGAACATCAATCAAAATTTCCCGTCTGACACAGGGCATTGAGTATCAATTTCGTGTTGCTGCAGAGAATCGATATGGAAAGAGCCAGTTTATTGAAACAGAAGCTATCGTTGCCCAGTACCCCTTCAAACCACCTGGTCCACCAACCAACCTCCATGTTATACAAGCATCAAAGTCTGTGATGGTCATTGCTTGGAGCAAACCAGACTGTGATGGTGGCAGCCCCATTATTGGTTATCATGTTGAAAGCAAAGATCAAAGCAGCATTTTATGGACAAAACTAAACAGAAGCCCAGTATCCGATAACCAATACAAGGTCTCAAGTGTTGAAGAGGGGCTGATTTATGAATTCCGGGTCTGTGCTGAGAATATGGCAGGTGTTGGACCTTGCAGTCAGACATCTGAACCTGCAACAGCAAGAGACCCATGTGACCCACCCACAAATCTCTCAGTCACTAATGTAACAAACACTTCAGTTTCACTCTCATGGGACAAACCAAAATATGACGGGGGTGCTAAAATAACTGGCTACATTGTCGAGCGCAAAGAACTGCCAGATAGCTGTTGGCTTAAGTGCAACTTCACAAACTTGCTGGACACCTTCTTTGACGTGACTGAGCTCACTGAAGGAGAGCAATACGACTTTCGGGTAATTGCAAAGAATGCAGTTGACCTCTTCAGTGCACCGTCTGAAAATACAGGACCTGTTACTGTGCAGCATGATGTAGAGCCACCCAGAATCATATTGGATGAGAAATTTAGGCAGGCAGTGGTTGTAAAGGCTGGGGAGCTTCTAAGAATAGATGCAGACATTTCTGGGTGCCCTAATCCAACGGTGTTCTGGTTGAAAAATGGAAGAAATATTAGCACCAAGGGAAGGGTTGAGATAACTGTGACAAAGGGCCATACCACTCTTCTTATTAGAGAGGGGGTTAGAAAAGACTCTGGACAGTACACTCTAACCCTGCAGAGCACAGGTGGCACCACATCTAAAAGTGTTACCTGCAAGGTGCTAGACAAGCCAGGCCCTCCTGCTGGACCTCTGGAAGTATCTGGTCTGTCAGCAGAAAAATGCACCCTGTCATGGGCCCCCCCTCATGAGACTGGTGGTGCAGAAATCCTGCATTACATTGTTGAGAAGTGTGAAACCAGTCGTGTTTCCTGGACCCTTTTATATGGGGATTTGATAGCAACAACTTGCAAGGTGACAAAGCTACTTAAAGGGAATGAGTACCTGTTTAGAGTGAAGGCAGTCAACAAATATGGGGAGGGTGAGACACTGGAAAGTGAGCCAATCAAAGCCATTGATCCCTTCACTGTCGCTTCCGCTCCAACAGATGTTGAAGTCACAAGTGCTACCAATGAAGCTATGACCATCTGCTGGAAGAGGCCTGTTTCTGATGGCGGAAGTCGTATCAGTGGTTATATCATAGAGAAAAGAGACAAGCACGGTGTTCGCTGGGTCAGGGTCAACAAGAAACCCGTGTATGACCTACGTGTCAAAGCCACTGGCCTGCATGAGGGGTGCGAGTATGAATTTAGAGTATTTGCTGAGAATGTTGCTGGTCTCAGTGAGCCTAGTTTACCATGCCCTCTTACACTAGCAGAGGATCCAAAGTTCCCCCCCTCCTCTCCAGCAAAGCCCACCATAGTTGATTCAGCTAAGTCATGTATCACTCTGGCATGGAACAAGCCATTTGATGGTGGAGCACCAATAACTGGATACAAAGTTGAATTCAGAAAAATAACAGAGGAGAATTGGACTGTTGGAGTTCACAGCACAGACAGAACAGAATTTACAGTAACTGGCCTTGCAACAGGAGAAGAGTATATTTTCACTGTTAGAGCCATTAATAAAATTGGTATAAGTGAACCCAGCCCTGAAACAGATCCTGAAGTAGCCATGGACAGAGAAGAAATGCCTGTGTTCAACATTAACCCAGAAATGAGGAAGACCCTGCTTGTTAAAGATGGCAGCTCCTTCACTTTGTCTGTGCCTTTTTCAGGCAAGCCGACTCCCAATGTGTTATGGGACAAAAAAGATGTGGATCTTAGAGTAAGAGGGCTTATCACCACCAGCAGCTCTATCACATCGATAACGGTGGAAAAGGCAACTCGTGACGATTCTGGCAAATATACCATCAAACTACAAAATGTAGCCGGATCCGCATCTTTAACCCTGAACGTTAAGGTTCTGGATTCACCTGGTCCTCCTTCCCAAATAACAGTCAAAGATGTTACCAAGACTTCTGCTACCATTACCTGGGACATCCCTGAGAACGAGGGGGGAGCCCCTGTGAAGAACTATCTTGTAGACATAAAAGAAATTAGTAGAAAAGGGTGGACAAGACTCACAGATAAATGTCGTAGACTGTCCTACAAGGTATCTGACCTGGAAGAGGGAGGGATCTACTACTTCAGGGTCACTGGTGAAAATGAATATGGCATTGGGGTTGCAGCTGAGACCAAAGATGGAACAAAAATGGCAGGTACATCTGGAACACAACTATATTTTACCTCAACTGCACAGTTTTACGATGTTTTAACATTCTGATTTTATCTTGTTTCAGATAAAACAGACTGGGAGACAAACCAAGGAGTTTAACTTGTTTTTAGAGTTGAGCTACACATCGCTTGATCATCTGAAAAAGATTCTCCTTCTTTGTTGATCTTCAGTACATTCTCTTCTTCCAGCTCTTGGAGAGTACAGATGCTTTTTTCCTCCTCTCCTCCCTATCTTATCCCAAGGCTCTTTGTCTGTCTTTGGGTGTACGGCACTTCTGCATTTCTTCTGGAAAACTGGAAATTATTAAAAATGGACCTGGTCGGTTCGTCTCTCAACGCGATTGACAAAATTTTTTCAACGATGTGAACGGGAGAAGGGGCTCCCGGATGCCCCTCTGGGACAGAGCCAGCTGGGCATATCATGGACTCCTGGAAACAGTGGAACCTGATCTGCCTCGCTCAACTGTCTGTAGAGGATTCTGAAGACGTCTGGATATTCGTGGTGTTGGTGTCAGGTTTCGTGCTTTTTGGCCTGAGTGGTTACCTGACTTACCGGAAAATTAATGAGCTGTCGAGGAATATTGGCTCGCTCCCGGAGCTCAGGGATGGATTACACCACGCTGTGAACGCATAAACTCATATAATTGTCGAGATGAGTCGTAAGCTTGGAACTTTGGCTGAGATTCAGACTTTGGCACAGAAGGTGGATTTGATCAAGGAGAAAGTTGACGGATCAGCACGGATTGGGATAGATAAATTACGCCATTACTGGATTTAGAGGGGTTGAGGACCAACAGAACTTTAAGACAGAGAGGAAATGATCTCTGTCTGGCCCCAAAAGAAGTTCTTATCTGAATCTGGTGTCCTTGAGCCTGTGAGGCTGAAGAGATTACTCCCCCTCAGAAGAAATGTGGAATGCTGCCATCGCCATGGTAACTCTGTCTCCCTATCCCAGCCTGGGCGGGACTGTGACCGGTGAAGGCCGTTGAATCGCTCTCTAAACCCAACTACCTCCCTCCCCTGTCCAAACAGAGGTGACGAGCGCTGTTTATCATGGCTGCATGCACTGATGTGTGGATAGTCCCCAACCCTACCTCCCCACCTAGTGGACACTTATGTTGTGTAATGCTTGAAGTCTGTTGCATTTCTGTCTGAGGTGTTTTTTACATAGCGAAGCTGCCCCCCTGTGGAGGGTAACTCTGAAGTGCCTTTTTTTTCCTCCACCTGACTCAATCCTTATATATAAACCCTCTGATCTCTATTAAAGTAGCACCACTCGGGTTGCGAATGACCACAGTCACCAATTCTTGTCATGTGTCTATGACTATGTATATATGTCTGATCTCAGAATTGTGTGAACTGAAACTCTAATGTCCCTCTGGGATTAATAAAGTATCTTTGAATTTGAATTGAATTGTCTTTCATAAGATGTTTTTTAAATACTAGTATGCACTGAGTAAAATTAGCATATTTTCTCACAGTGAATTACCTAAGAATTTTCATAAAGCTAAAAGGATAAATTATCAAGTTTTAAATAAAAATGAATGGCAAGTGCTTAAAATAATAAAAGTGCATGTTTTTTCTTTACAATTATAATAAAATTATAATGCACTGATATGAAGTATTTTTGGTTTTAGATAATTCAATAAAAAACAGACCATTTCTAAAAATAAATGCTCCAAAAGTTTTTAATATTTGACAAATAAATAGTTGTAACACCAGGGTTATCAGAGGAAAAGTAACTTAACGTGTGTGCACCATGAAAGGGGCAAAAGAAATGTTTTTTTATTTTACGTCATTTCAGCGTTGGCATTACATGAACGCGCCCAAAGATACGGGAATGCGCCTGCACGAACCCGGAAGTAAGCAACAACAAACTAGCTTCGTCGCCGCTCACCGAGCAGCGGATTATTATTGACCACAGTGACATTTTAACAGTCTTTGCTTTCAAATATATAAGTCAAATATTTTAATCGAAAAAGTTTGAGATGGGAACTACAGCGAGTCAACTCGGAAAGGCTGACCTGTCAGAATACCAGGTAAGTGTTTATCGTGTTATTTGCTGTAGTCCAGCAAATGCTGAAAACTTAGTTTTACAGAGTATATTTATACTAATCACACTTATCAAAGGTTTTGAGATAAATACGACATTAGTCAGAATTTCAGCCAGGATAAGAGCAGACGCTTGTTGCATAGAAGCTAAACGTTGGTAATGCTGATAGCTTTGAATCAGAAAGGGGCTTGTTTTGACTTGTACTCATCTACAGTACATCTGATTTTAGGAGCTGACTTTCCTGACTAAACAAGAAATTCTTCTGTAAGTTACAGGTTGTATGACAACTAAGAAAATGTAAACTATTCTTATAGATCATGGGATAGATGTCTGATTTATTCCTGTTTTTTCCTAATAAGTGCTCATAAGAGATTCACTGAGTTGCTCCCCAAAGAGGAAAAAAACTCAACAAATGCCAGAGTTCCAATGACAAAGATTCTCACGCTGCCTGAGCTGAAGGTAACAGGAAATTTCAGTAGAAGTGTGGCAACGTTTCTATTTATTGGTGTAATCTTTATAGAGGAAGTGGATGATCGAATAAAGTGAACTTTGAACTTGTTCTCGTCCTAGTCTAACCCTTTCAAGGAAAGAATCTGCCTGGTTTTCTCAACAACTAACCCAAACGATGGAAGCTTCAGCTTTGACGATTTCCTGGATTTTTTGAGTGCCTTCAGTGACTCGGCTACGTTGGAAATAAAATCCCACTATGCTTTCCGTATATTTGGTAAATGTTGATAAAACACGAGCTGGTCAGTTTTTTCTTAGCTGCACTGATCTTGTCTGATCATTAGCTTTATATTTTCAGACTTTGACAATGATGGGACCCTCAGCTGTGGCGATCTGGAGAAGCTGGTTGACTGCTTGACTTATGAGTCGGAAGACTCGCGTCTAACCATTGAGGAAATGAGACAGCTCATAACTAATGTGAGTTCACTTCGACTGTTTTTTTTCTCTCAAAGATGCAAGAAGCACACTCCAAAGAGATGCTCTGAGGCATCATCTGGGCACAAATGAATCTTGCTTTTGTTTAGATCCTTGAAGAGTCAGACATCGACAAGGATGGGACGGTGAATCTCTCGGAGTTTCAGCATGTCATTTCAAGATCTCCAGACTTTGTCAGGTGGTTTTCCCAAAATAATATCTGACACATAAATCTTGAGGAAATGTTTTCTAATCATCACAATTGTTTTTTTCCCCCCACAGTTCTTTCAAGATTGTGCTGTGAGGCCTTGGAAATGGCCAACTTTTAATTTTGTTTTTAGTGAAAAACTATACTTGCCTTTAAATTTTACTTACTTCTGGATTTTACTCTTATGATTTTATGAATTGTTTGTGAAATTTATATATATATATATATTTTATAACATCTTTAAAATAAAAGTTTAAGGTATTAGATTACAAAAGTTCTTCATTGACACAAATAATTTATTACAAAACATTTTCCACAGCGTAACTTTCTGATGTAATTTAGACTTCCTTGTACGCCGACCAAAGTCCAACGTGGGGACAGATTCAGGGGATTGTCAGGTATTTTTGAGATCAAGTACTCCCTTCTTGACGGCGGCAGTAAAAGTGTTCCACGGCCCACACACCACATCGACAACATGCAGGTCCTTGGCCTTAAAAAACTCCACACGTCGCGGTTCGTCTAAACTGTTAAATGTCTGGTGTCCAAGTTGGCCGTATTCTCCTGGGGGACAAGAACAGAAAAAGAATAGCTTAATATTTGCTGATAATATATTAAATTTCAATTTGAGTTGATATCCTGTTGTAAGAATAGAACAACTTTATTGTCTGACACCAAGCGGTTACAGAAATTTGTCTTTAAGAGGGCTCATCGTCATCCACCTCATCATTCACACTTTCATAGAACAGTAAATACAATAAAAAATCATAAAAAACTAAAAACACAGATATAAGCTTAAAAGCCATAAAACCAAAGATGCAACTATATGCCTAAAACACATCAAATCATTTGCGGGTTATTGAAGTTCTGTGTCTGTTGAGGGCTGTGATTGTATTTAGATTCAACACTTTAGTGAGATCGAACTTACCCCATCCCCAAGTGAACAGACAGCCTGAGGCTGAAATAGAAAGATATGCTGTATTAATGATGCCCTCATTGAGAAAATGTTTCAGCTTAAATCTATATCTGAGGTACTTGTTACTGCAGCCGTGTGCCGGGAACCACAGCTGGCTCTTTGGAAGTCAGATGATGGATTAACATCCAGCAGCGCAGGAAATGCTTGGATGGAAATAAATACTTCTTCGTGTTTATCTCCATCATGTGGCTCCTCTTCTGGCGTACTGACATCAGACAGTTCTGTATAAAACAAACCAATATATGTATGTGTATGTATATATATATATATATATATATATATATATATATATCAGAATTTTAGATAATTAACCTCAAATTATGATAAATGGCCTGTACTTGTATAGCGTCTTTCAGTCAGAGGACTCTAAAGCGCTTTACAGTGTTTCATTGATACACACGCACACACACACAGGTTAAGTAAGGTTCTGTTGTTTTAAACTTTTTTTTTTTTTTGCAATCTCAAAAAAAAAAAAAAGTCTAGAATCTAACACTTGAATTTTCTAATGCCAAACCTGTTGGTTGAGCCTTTTTCTGCTGTGGAGCTTTTTGTAGCCCTCGTGACGGAAGTCCCAGCTGTCCGCTCTCATTCCAGCCCCACACATAGAGGTCACCTCCTTCTAAGAAGCACAGTTACTACCTATCATTTATTTATTTTTACTCGTGTCTTTGATGTAACCCTTTTATTTAATACCGCTGATGCAGACAGAGTGCCAGCCTCCTGCAGCCACAGAGCTCATAGGCACGCCCCACAGAGCCTCTACTGTCCTCGGCTCCTCCTCGGAGACGAGTCCCCCATGTCCCAGCTGACCATGGCTGTCAAATGAGCACATTAATAAATGCAGAAGAATGGGGCTCCGATTTTCATTATAAGTCAGTGTTGGCATCACCTGCCCAGTCCCCAGCTGTAGACAGCTCCAGGGGCAGTCAGAAGGATGACATGATCTCCCCCCAGAGCCAGGCTCTTGGCTTGCAGGTGAGGAGCCAAGGAGCGGAAGATGGGAGGCTTGGAAGCTATGTAACCACCAGGTACCAATGGCAAATTCACACCTGTATGAAAATGACAGAAAACATGTAACAGCATATTTGTGGTGATTTTCTGATGTTCAGTACACTCAAATATCCAAATACCAGAGCTCTCTGACTGGGGGATGATCTCCATGCTCCATAGTGGAGTTTTATCTTTCCTCTGCACATCCCAGGATTCAATTCGGTCTGGGAAGGCAAGAGTGAGGTGGGATTCACTGATGATTGCATCTCTGCAGCCCCTGGTATCGTTGGAGATGCTGGATGCAGAAAAACCGGCCAGCCACACACATCTGCTCTCTAAAGAATAAGAAAACACTAGTTTGTATCCGCATAAAGACCATATTCCTGTCAAATAGGTAGAAACCTACCGTGCAGACATGCTCTTCGACTCCAGCTCGCCCTGATCTGACATGTCTTCAGGCAGCAGCTGTGGTCCACGTGACTCCGTAGCTCTACAGGGACGCTAACTTTGACTTCTCCGACCGCGTCGCTGGTTTCCTCTTGAACAGATTTCTCCTGGACGCATATTTGTCCAAAAGCATTGAAGCCGAAACCAAACCAGCTCATTTAATTCGTTCTTAAATCCTAAGAAAGTCTCCTGAGCGACGAAACGCAGGAATCAAAACACACAAAGAGCGGAAGAACCCGGAAGTAGCGCGCATGCGCAAATGGTAAGTTATTCTTTAGGGGGATGTTCAAAGCAGAAATCCATGATTTCAGTTTTTCCTCCATGTGTAATTGATATTCCACTGATGTGTTAACAGCATCTTGTTGGTTTACACAACCATACCTGGATGCAACAGACATGAGACGGGACGGTTAATTCCAATAGAAATATTTATTTTCAGTCTGTGCACACTAATGAAAGACACACAAATCACACATTTAAATCTCTTAGAATGTAGTGAAGTAGTAATACCTGAAATAATGTATTATAAAAATGACAAGCACAAATATTCTAACTAGTGATGGCGATGCAAAATATGACATCCGGCTGGTTGTGAAATAAAATGATTAGCCAGCATGTTTGTGTAAAAATGTTTAAACCATCTAGGAATGTCCTCTTTATTAAAGAAACTCAGTTTGGAATAGAATGATTGGTCGACGAGAAAAAAAAAGTGCAAGGGCTGGTCTATATCCTTACAACCAGCTCCAAAAACACAATCAGTGAAAAATTCTACATTTGACAATATTTGTGTAATGGTTTTACAGTTATATATTAATTTTGTTATTGCTTCACTGCTTTTTGATTTTAAAAAGTTAGGAAACACATTTTTTGGTATAAATGAAATTACTCCCATTTTCAAATGAAATCTAAAAGCACTTAAGACAGCAGAGAGGCACACCCACAACTGCAGCCCTTCATTTGCCCTTTTCCTTCTCCTCCCTACTTTGGATGATGCCGTACTCAATAGCTTTATCCAGACAGTCCAGAGCGATCTTGGAGACAGGATCCACTGTCCCCTCATTTGCGATGACGGAAAGAATCTCCATAACTTCGCTCTCCATGAGGGTCTCAGCCAGGCTTTTCTCTGCCTGCATCATGTTCTGAACAATGACCACTCCACGATGCCGTAGGTCAGGAACTTCACTGAGCAGCAAAGCCTGCAGAATCTCTAGCCAATGGGTTGTCTGAGAAGAAAAAAAACAAACAAACAAAAAAAAAAACAAATGTAAAGAACAGATTATTTAGTTTTTGTGTAAATTAAACGTCTAGTTTTTCTTACAGTTTCAGGGATGCGGGTGCAGAGCTCAGGCTGTTCAGCAGTCAGCATGGCCAGAGTTCCTGCAGCAGCTTTCCGAAGCCTTTCACTCTCTTCGCCACTGTAAAGCACCAGCAGCTTCAGCCGATCATTCCCTGTGGCTAAGTACAGCTTCTGCACCTGAAAACACAGATTTAGGCTCACACCGTTCTCAGACTGAGTCATGGATTTTATCATTTAACACGAGTGTTACCTCTGAACTCAGAACTAGATTACACATGCACTCTGTAGAAGACGCTCTGATCAGGTCGTGTTCCTCAAACATGTAGCCTTCAATTTTCGGAACAGCTTTTTCTTTTATGATCTTCTGTCTGAGACAAAATAAAGAAATTAAAGTGGTGGGTTTTGTTTTTGTAAATTTTAACGTCATGAGGGACGAGTAGAAAATATTAAATAAAATTAGAAACATTTCTCTGTGTTTAGGTGTGCTTTTATGAAGTGACTGCCCCCTAGTGGCCAACCTGAGTCTTTCACTAATGCCAGCCAGGTTGGTGAGGGCCATCAGTGCTTCGAAGTTCTGCAGCATGGTGCACTCCAGTCTCAAAAGGTTCACAAGTGGGCGCACGACCTCATAGATCTACAAAAAAAGCAGATTAAATAAGAAAAATGTGTTTACTTGGCGTAGTCCGAGGTACTGTCAGCATTCCTACCCTCTCTCCAGGAAAGGCAATCTCTGGGTTAGACGTGATGGCTATTTTTGCGAGGGCTTGTGCTGCTTTGACTTTTCCTACATCTGTGTTGTCAGTTGCAAGAGGAATCAAAGCCTGTTTAGGACAGCAGAAACATAAATCACCTTCTGAAGGGAAAATTCAGGATCTGTTCTAAAAATTGATCACGCTGTTCTACCTTTCCTCCACCCTGAGCCACTACAGTGCCTCTGTCTTCCTGCCGCTCCACCAAAGCCAAGAACACTCTGCCACGACAAAGTGTGTTGAGATATGTACAAAAAGAATAGTCGGAGAAAAGACGTCTGCTTTTCACTTCCTACCTGGAGATACATTCCTTACAGGCTTCGGTGAGGGCCGGACTCTCCTGTTTGACCATGCACACCAAGGCAGACACGACACCAGCTTCCAGGAGCTTAACCACCCTTTTCTCCACAAAAGAATGTGCATCCTGACATGAGAAGGCAGCAAAATTAAAGCAAAGAGACACAAAGTGTCAAGACAAATCAATAAACACTGGCATAAAACTTTTGCAGCACCTTGGGATGCTCCTCAGGGACGTGTTGTTTCGCATACTTGGCCAGCTCCACCATCTGAGGGTCTAGTTTCTCTACATCATAGCTGTTGGTGCAATTCACCAACGTAGAGCCCACGGCAAAGAGAACGGTCTTATCTTCAGACTGCATGGACAGAAACACCAAGTATGAAAACACTGTCGTGGATGGTAATGTAAAAAAAAAACCCAACAAAATGTGTAATTTGACTTCATTTTTTTTACTTGTATAAAAAAAGCTTGAATAAAAAGTGATCAGTGACCTTTGCTAGTTCAAACATAGCCAGGAGAGCATTTTTGTCCTCTACAAAGTCTTCTTTCACATCAGCGTCAAACGTGAGATAGGCGAGACCTTCCACAGACCAGCGACGAGACGTTGGCGGCAAAGACTCGTTACACAGCCACCTAACGGACAGGAAATAAATATGCTCCTGACTTTAATGGCTGTTAAACTGTTGTGTTCAGTCAGAAGTTAAAATCAAAAATAGCATCTCCCTAAATCCATAAGGAGTTACCCCTTCTTTCCACAGGAGCCGTCAGCAGCACGTTACTGCAGCAGCACGTCATAGCTGCTGATAGAAACCGCTGTGGTCAACAGAACCTTTTCCACTGGAGCCGTCAGCAGCGCGAGTCGGACGCGTCTCAGGAGCAGCATGTCGTGGCCCTTACACGCCGGTTCTATTTTCTACGCGCGACGCCTCTGAAACGGGTCAAGTTCGACATTTTCGGGGAAGGAAAGACAGGAAATCGGACGCGGAAACGGAGCGAAGCTCCCGAGATTTTCAGAATAAAGAAACGTACTGCCTTCCGGTTGCTTTACTTTAAAAAAAGTTACTAACTGAGCGTCCCCGTGAGAAGTTATCACCTAGCTAGTGGTCTCCTTTGTTTTTCAGGTCCGTATTGGCGATTATGAAACGGACAGAACATAAAACACAAACCATGTTGTAGTTTTCTCCTGCTTGTTGTTGCGTTTACTGACGAAGTCACTCGTGTGACTTCGTGCTCTGTCTGCGACAGCTGCTCCCCTGCTGCTTCGCGTCTCGTGGGAAGGGCCAAGCAGCAGCTTATGCGAGCGAGACGTGCTGCTGACGGCTCTGGTGGAAAGAAGGGGTTAGACTTTTAGCACAAGAAAACATACTTCCTGCACTGCTTGGCGAGCTTGAGTGTGGATCCCTCTGCAAACTGCTTCATGCTGAAATCTGTACCTCCTGCTGATCCGAGCTTGCACAAACCCTGTAACAACCCACACAAAACTGTGGGTTCCATCTTTAATTAGAAATATGTTCTGCACCTGTCGACAACACTTACCACAAGGGCTCTCACACGGATACGATCATTCTCACTCTTCTTGTAGAGGTCCTTCAAAAGGGCCACGCCATTGGCTGTGATGAAAGACGCTCGCTTGGCTTTGCCCGCCGCGTGGATAAGAGCCTCCACCGCTATCTGCTGGTGAATTACATGTTTGGAAGCGCAGAGAGAGATCACAGCATCCATCATTCCTGACATTTCCAGAGTCCTGTTCCCCACGTCACTCGGACCTTGGAGGAGCACCGACACGGTCTGGATGGCACGCAGCTTTCCTTCCAGCCCATGCTGGCTAAAGTGCTGCCTGCTCAGAAAAAGAAAACAATTAATTTTAAGAGTATAATTTGGGGTGGATTAAGGCTCCTAGAAATATTTTTTGTAAATAACTTACTGAATATACTCTTCACACAGTTTGCTGAAGTTCTCCCTCTCTTTGTCACTCTTCAGGTCATCGTAGAGTTTGCTTAGCAGCACGGAGCAGCTCATGTGAGTGTTGTCCGTAAGAGGGGGTCCCTCTGAGAGCTCAGGAACAGTCCCAGCCACCTGCAGGATTTTCTTCAGCCCTGCATGAGATTAGGCACCACATTCCACATTTTTGTGACCGTAAATGCACGAGGATGAGACGAACACACGACCGCATGCAGGTGAGTTTCCTACCTTGGTCTATAACCCATAAGGCAAGAGAGTTGTCAGGATGCTTCAAAGACTTGCGGGGAACTTGTTTAACAAGGAGGTTGATGGCACTGTCCCTGCCCGGTCCTGACACATCGGGCGCAGGCATCATCTCTAGAAGGTGGCGCAACATTGAACGCAGCTCCTTAGATGGTTCTGTGTAGAATTCAGATGGAGATTAAACATGGATACAATCAAATATATGATTATAAACATGATACAGTAGATCTGCTTTGAGCGGATCCAGCTCCTATTATAAAAGCAAATAGTCAAACTCACCAGGAAGGATCGCTTCGTCCTTTCCCCTGATCTCTCTTTTCATGCCCTCTGTCAAAGCCTCAAACATCACCTGCAGGAGGTGGCAGGCGGCCAAAGACACAGTGGAAGCTCCTGACCCCATTACCGCACACAGCTGGTCCATTCCCAGTTCATTCACTATCGCCATCGTCTGGAAATAAAAGGCAACAGAAGAAAATCAGCAAACACTCTGCTGCAAATAAACAACTTTAAAGACGCCGCACTGATCGTGACACTTACTCTCGACTGATGTCCCGTGCACAAACCAACTAATGTCCTGAGAGCAGAAAGCACAATGTCCTCCTGCTTCGACTGAAGAAGATTCTGAGTTAGCTTCATTCCGTCGTTGCGGAAGATCTGCTCAGCTCCCGCTTCCTCCCGAGACAACACCACCAGATTCTGAGCTGCCTAAAAAGTTGCACGTATTGTACTGATTTAGTAAGTGTTGACAATAAAACACACACCAAGAGTTACAGAGAAGTGAGCAATTAGCACCTTCTGTCGATCTGAATCTTTAGCAGAAGCATCTAAGAGGAGGGAGAACATCTGCTGCACGCGTGCATCTGTGGAGTTTAGTTGAGCTGACTAAAGGGTTGCAAACATGGGCTAAAATTAGCATCTGCTTCTTCCAAGACAAAACTCCTAATCAGTTTCATATCACCTTTTGCTGCATCTGTGTTCCCAGTTGTCTAAGCAGATCTTGAAAAGCTTTGTTTTTAGGCTCGAGCTGCGCACACGTCTGAGCATCCAGGAAAGCCTGGTCGAGCCGACCGAGTTTCTGAAAAGCCTGAGCCCTCCGAAACCTGGCTTTCACATCGCCTGGGTCAGAATCAAGTGCTGCAAACAAAGGAAAACACCTGGAAACATTTACTAAAGTGGTGCATCTAATAAAAGCTTCAACCAAAGAACGATTTGTACAATACCCAGAATAATGAGCCTTAGCAAACAATAATCTCCTAATTGTCAAGTGTTTTGGGAAGGTAGTAAAGGCTCTGTACCGGGTATTGTTAATATGAAAAATGGAATCTCCATGAATTCACTTTTATGTATTTTGCAAGGCTTTATTTAATATATCTCACATTGTTTTGATTCAAACCGAGTCTGCTACATGTTCAGAAAAAGGCAGGCATGCCACAAAATGATCTGCTTTCCAGACTGTGAGATGTCCAGTTACATAGTGATGCCCACAAAGATGTAGCAACAGCTAAATGCAAATTAATTCTATCAAATTTAAAGGCCGAAAGGACAGTTTGTATATGCAGAGTTCTGTGTGACTAAATAAATGGAAATGTAGTAATTAATTTGTTTCCATGGCAATGGTAAACAGCTTTAATTTACTGGTCAATTTAATTATTTTAAAAATCAAGTAAAACTGTTGTATTGATGCATTATTTAATCGGATTGGTTAATGTGTTTTATTTGATGATCTGAAAAGTCTGCAGACTTCTGATCTGCATACAAGATGAGACAACAAAAACACTAAAAACACCGAAAATAAGCCAGTACTTATACTGTTTATTTTTTTTACATAAGTAATTTTACTTGAGTAGATATAATCTTGTGAATATTTTGCTAAATAACCTATTGTTTACATACCTAGCGTGGTAACTTTTTATATATATTATGTGTGGTGATCTACAGTCTCTTTCATAAATGTCCCTGCGATTTCATGGCCCCATAGAGACTTGTGCGCTCTTATTTATGCAAATTAAAGAGAAGTGTCCGACCTTTGGAGGCATCAGCCTCCGCTTTGCTGAAATCCTCCAGCTTCAGGTAGCAGGCGGAGCGGTTACGGTAGAGGACAGCACCGTCAGCCCGGCTGTCAGTCAGCTTTAACGCCTTGGTGTAACAGCAGACAGCGCCCTGCATGTCTCCTGCCTTAAAGAGAGCGTTCCCCTCCTCCTTCAGGGCTGCTGGGTCCTCCTGAGTTCAGGGAAAAAAGGTGAGTAACGGTTACCCGGACGGGAAACTTCTAGAAAAATCGGAAATAAACAAACCGAACGGCTCGTTTCAGCTTCCTTACCATTTGTTTTTCGCTCCCACTCATCTTCAGATCCGTTCAACACAATTCGGCGCGTCGTAATGTGACGGAACAGTTGTTTTTATTTCTCTAAATTGTGATTAACAATGTGAACTTCAGTAAAACATCTTGCTGCGCTTCCAGGTGTTCGTAGCACATTGATGACGTTTCACACAAGCCCCTCCCCTCTTATTTGTCGCAGCTTGAACAAAAGAAAAAAAAGGAAAACACCGACTGCTTTTACTTTATATGGTTATATTCACAGACATATATATTGTCTATGTCTGTGGTTATATTTACATCCTGGGGCTTTTCCCAGTCTGCACAGGGACATGTCGTACTTCTCAGGTAACAAAAGAAACAGAAATTCAAATTTAAATGTAGGAAAATGTTTAAATGTCCCAGCCAGGTGATCTTAAAGCCACTTTGTAATCTTGTTGTTTTCAGACTTTATGATTTTCTTTACAGACTTTTACTGTTTGCAACACATTTCTGTCCAATAAAATTCTATCTATCTATCTATCTATCTATCTATCTATATATATATATATATATATATATATATATATATATATATATATATATATATACATACATATATAAACATTTTTCTGAGTCTTTTTTAACGTTTAATCGTAGGCACGACAACTATATTCAAATTTCTTTAATTGATTCAGTAGAAATGCCAATTATAACAAAGTTTGACACACAAAATATTATTTTAGCATTCAATTCAATTCAATTAAAAATACTTTAATAATCCCAGAGGGAAACTGATTGCTGTAGTAGCTCAGAATAATAATAATGATCAAGTCGTCAAAGAGTTGTTGTACAATGGCTGTTGGCAGGAAGGATCTCCAGTAGCCGTCAGTGTTGCAGCGAAACTGAAGAAGCCTCTGACTGAAGACACTCTTCCGTTGTCGGACAGTCTTGTGAAGAGAATGCTCAGGGTTGTCCATCATTTTCTTGATTCTCTGGAGAATCCTTCTTTGCATTATCTCCTCCAGTGGTTCCGAAACTGCCAAAACTCTGGCTGAGTCCTTGAAAGGGCTTGGAGTTCCTCCATCTTGTTGGCCAGTGATCTCACACTGCCCATTATGATCGATGGAAGAGGTGGTTTGAATTTCCTTTTCCTCTGTCTCCGTTTTGCTTCCGCTCTGCACCCACGCTTCTTGCGTTTTAGCTCATTTGGGATTTGTGGCTTAAGTTGGGGTATTATTTCAGCCTTTCCAATGTTAATCAGCTGCTCCTGATTTTAAACCAGACTGTTGCCATGGTTACACATCATAACAAATACTCAAAAAGTGAAAAAAGCTAAAAAATAGCAGTAAAAATCCTCCAAGCTTCACAGCACCAGAAACAGAAAAGTAAAGTGTCCAAAAAATACAGTTTTTCTTGAGAAACTAGAAGAAAAAATGCCCAAGAAAAGGCAAAACGTACATATAGTCAACAGAGCTACTCCAACATGCAGCCACCCAGAGCAGTGCATGTTCCGTAAAAAAAACAACAACAAAAAAACAAGATGATTCCCAAAGAGTTATTTTTTGACAAATGAAGCTGATTAACAGAAGGCTGATGCAAATTTCAGGTGTGTGCTTAATGACTTCTTGACTTTTAAACACATCACATTTGCTGTAGATAGTTTATATACATTTTTTTTTTACTTGACACTTATTTTAGTCAAGTTTCCAAACTAAGATCACCTGGCTGGGACATTGTTTAGACAGTGATTCGTTTTAGAGTTTTATTGTGTCATTGTTTTAATGTGCTCTTAGTATTCATCATGTTTTCTCTGCTTTTAATTGAGATTTTTATCCTTTGTTTTAGCTCCTTGTAATGGGTGTGTTTTGTTTTAGCCTGCAGCACTTTGGGCAGCTCCCATGCTGCATTTTAAATGTGCTATATAAATAAACTATGCTAAGTTTCCAAAATACTCTGTAAAAGTAGTGCACAAGGACTGGACAAAAAAACGAAAACATTGAGTGAATAAGCAGACTAATTTCCGGAACTGCATGTTGGAGTAGCTCTGTTGACTATATGTAAGTTTTGCCTTTTCTTGGGCATTTTTTCTTCTAGTTTCTCAAGAAAAACCGTATTTTTTTGGACACTTTACTTTTCTGTTTCTGGTGCTGTGAAGCTTGGAGGATTTTTACTGCTATTTTTTAGCTTTTTTCACTTTTTGAGCATTTGTTATGACTCGTAACCATGGCAACCCGCTGGTTTACAATCAGGAGCAGCTGATTAACATTGGAAAGGCTGACATAATACCCCAACTGAAGCCACAAATCCCAAATGAGCTAAAACGCAAGAAGCGTGGGTGCAGAGCGGAAGCAAAACGGAGACAGAGAAAGAGGAAATTCAAACCACCTCTTCCATCGATCATAATGGGCAATGTGAGATGACTGGCCAACAAGATGGAGGAACTCCAAGCCCTTTCAAGGACTCAGCCAGAGTTTCGGCAGTTTCGGAACCACTGGAGGAGATAATGCAAAGAAGGATTCTCCAGAGAATCAAGAAAATTATGGACAACCCTGAGCATTCTCTTTACAAGACTGTCCGACAACAGAAGAGTGTCTTCAGTCGAGGCTTCTTCAGTTTTGCTGCAACACTGACCGCTACTGGAGATCCTTCCTGCCAACAGCCATTGTAATATACAACAACTCTTTGATGACTTTATCATTATTATCATTTTGAGCTACTACATCAATCAATTTCCCTCTGGGATTAATAACGTATTTTTGAATTGAATTGAATTTGAAATCCAAAGAAAAACTTTCAGAAAGTCTGAAACTTGCTGTAAAAGATCTGGCTCTTGCTGGGAAGGTATAAAAAAAGAAGTTGTTCATATTTACTCACAGTGTGTATTACACTGTCACACGTATTATTTTGCAACTTGCAGGGAAACCCACTGAAGGAAGTATCCTATGGTATTTCAGTATCAGTCCTCTGGGAACTCTCAGTCACACTATTGTTGTTTGTCTGCTGCCTGGGAGATGAGATATGGTTCCCTTTGGGACTTTGCATTCAGGTACACCTGTTTAAACTCAAATTACCATGGATCCTTTGTTAATTGGGAAGAATCTGCTGCCAGGACAGTCTCTGAGTCCCCTAAAGAATCAGCTGCATGTAAGATCACAAACAAAGCAGATCTGCAGGAGATCTATGAGACTCAACAAACAGCACCAGTGACTCAAGCTCCAAAAAAACCTTCCCAAATCTCAACAAAATCAAAAGCAGCTGTGCAAACATTTGTTCCCTATCTCCACTGTGTTTTGTGAGAAATTACTGGTATATTCCCTGGAGCCGAACCTAATAACACCTTCACACACCTTCATCAATGCACTTTGAATGTTTTTGCAGATCCTATTAAAAATAATCAGTCTCCTGTGACCAGAATTAAACCAAAAACACTGCCATCTGTTCCTGTCTTGCCCGCACAGGCTGCTGATTAATTATTGAACTGTTAGCTCATCTCCTGTTTCTAAACACAAAAAGCATCCCCGAATGAGCCATCAAAACAAAAAGATCATGCAAAGCGCCAGCACAATCCCCTCAGTTTGTTTTTCAGGTATTAACCTGCACATTAGGAGTAAGAGTCAGGCTCATCTTAAATTTTGATTTGATGCTGGAGGCAGGTGGCAATGTAAAAAAAAGTACATTACATTGAAATATTTGTGGTATCAGTTGTGTTTTTTAACAGTGCCTATCAAATATATTTTGATGAAGTTTAAAATGTTTCTTTTTCAAAAAAAAAAAAAACTTAGACCAGTTACTGATGTTGTATATAATAAGGAAATTGTCTCTTTCACTGACATGCTTATCGAGTTGTACTAAATAATTCAGTTAGGAACACGATTGTGACTAAAGACGTCACGCTAGACTGAGCCTATAGGTGACAAAGTTGCACAAAAGGATTGTAATACTTTACAATAAAGTTTTCTTCTCTCTTGAGCAGTATTGGGCAATACCGGATCAGAATTTGTTTTTTAAAGAAAACATTGATGATCTTGAATAAGCATTGATTATTTATGTTGTTTTTAATTATGCTGTTCTAAATATCCACACTCCATATCAAAATATGATGTTTTGTTGTGTTTTTATTGTAGTTTTTTTTAAAGGAATCCTATTTCTTCTTGTTCACTCAGAAAAATAGATGATGGACATTTGCAGGTCTAACACAAAGAGTGTGGCTGATTAAAAACAGTCACAATAAAAGTTTCTACCACACTTTTGGATACAAACACTACTAAATACAGTTTGGTATTTTCCCTAAGAAAACATATAATTTACTTGTTCACAAACACAAACACAAATACTTTTGAAACTCAAAACTTTGACCTGTACGCCAGGTAGTGTTGGCACTTTTCAGTAGATTTTTCAGTGTTTGAATTTGAACATAATGTAAAAACTGAGCATTTTATTTTTTTAAAAACGTTTCAATTTTTTAAAAATGGTCATGTGATTTGGATTCCGCAAATGCAATAAGATTCAGTCTATTTATCTTTAAATTGTATAAAACACCCCAAAATCCGGAAGCATGATGAAAGGTTGGTGCACGCGCACAAAGCCATGTTTTCCCAGAAAGCTTTGCGGCAGCTCAGCGTTGCTGAACGCTAAGATGCTAAGCTACTTCTGTAATCAGTCAGCCTGCAGCTAAAAGCGCTCACCGACTGTTGGACTACTCTCTTCCGGTCGGAGTATTGTTCGTCCTTTAAGGGGTAACGTGCTTTCCCCCCCTACCTAATTCGCAAGGAAACATGCTATTGCAGCATTTTTTCTCGAGGTTTAAATTACAAATTTAAGGTTAGCCACTAAATGTCAGCCACGTATTGTCAATCTGTCATCAAGTCTGTCACGTATGGCACATCTGTCGCGGAGCAGAAAGCAACCGCCTACCTAAATGATGTCTAATTTGAACCTTTCAAGCCACTAACCTTGTCCGAACTTTGGAATTTAAACAGTAAATTGGCTGAATTGCCTGTTTTGTGTATATGTAGGAAGCTAGCGCTAGCATGTCATTGCGTGTTTGTGACACATCGTAGTTAATGTTGACTAAAGTTTGACAGAGAATGGCACATGGTAACTATGTGTTACTTATGGTGTATGGATTTTATGCATCATTAGTGTTTTTGGACTTTGATGGGATGTTTTAACATTTAAACTCTAGTCTTTTAGGGGTTTCCATTAAGCAATCCTACTTGGCTAGCAACCCAAACCAGTTAAACAATGTTAGATATATCGGTCAGTAACCTGACGAATAATTACCGATACACGTTGTATATTTCAGAGTGCATTTTCAGCTAATATGCTGTCATGATCATGTGAGCAGTTTATGATTCGTCGAGCATTTGCGTTTTCTTCCTCGTGTGTTTTTTATTCGAGCACATTAGCAACAAAACCTTTATTTTTGGACATTTTTCTGATCCATATGGACTAAGAAGTGGCTAGCCTCATTCTGATTTGCAATCTATTTCCAGAAATGCTTAAGACATCTTAAGTTACAGGTTACTATCACAACTGCGCGTGTGCGGTAATTAGGTCCCATCTTTGGAAGCTATAGGATTATAATGGTGGATTTACTCACTGAGAAAATCTTGTAAAATTAATGCCATTGGCATTCCTGACTTTTCCACAGACATTTGCATTTTGTTATTTTATTGAAATTCTTTGTACATTTTTGCTTATTTGTAATGCTGCATTTACCTAAATCTTTTTTCCCAGCAGCTGAAGAGAAAATTGGTGCTGGTGATTAAGGACAGGCACTGCCCATGCTGCCACAGTAGATATGCAGTCATTATGCCGCTGAGAGCAGGATAGCGTTTGTCTCATTATAATTCCTGGAGCTGCTTTGGGGCAGAGCTGAGGCTTGATTAAAAAAATCTGCTGGTACTGCTCTCAGCCAAGCGGATCTTTTTTCTCAGCTTGTTCCTTTGCACCGCTAATGCTCGGTGTGCAAACTGTTGTGGTACACAAGGACATTTGAGCTAAAGGGTGTTTACTCTGGCTCTGCTGGAGGATTAGACTTTGCTGTGAGAGTGGGGACTGGACCAGTTAAGCAGGCCCACATTAACAACAATCATGCAGCAGGAACACTAGTCTCCCTGTTTGACCTCCGTCTGCATTGGACTTTTTTTCTCCTCTTTTTTTCTGCAATCTTATCGATATGAATGGTTGAGGACAAGGGCCACTTTGAAATAGCCCCCTGGTGGATGTGGTTTGGCCTGATTCAACAGACTCCTTGCCAGCTATTGCTCCTTCTCCACTACCACTACTGCTGTAGCTCCCATCAGTGGTTCCCAATAAGATTAGTGGAGGCTGCAGGCATCACATGAGTGAGACTAAACATTTTAAATTGCTGTGGATGTAAGATTTTCATTTTTCACTTCGGTGCTGTTGAGGATTTTGATCCAACTTTTTTTTTTACTTTTGTGAAAGCAAAACTATCTGCTGTCAACGTCTGTTTTAACCTTTTTTTTGGAGACATTTTTAATTCTGCAAAGAAGATTGCTTCATAGGAGAATGAAGCTGAGGAAACAGGTGACTGTGTGTGGAGGAGCCATATTCTGTGTGGCAGTGTTCTCACTCTACCTGATGTTGGACCGAGTCCAGCATGACCCTGCACGGCGACAGAGTGGGGGGAATTTTCCACGGGTAAGGATGAGAGCTGTAATGGTACGCAAACATTATGTGAAAATTCACTCCACAGTTGATCTTGCTGCTGGTCTGTTTTATTATATTTTTCTGCCTCACATGTTTAGCGCTGAATGAACTTAAACATCTGTAAATTTATTCAGCCCTGATTAGACTTGATTCATAACAAGATTCATGTATTCAATTTATGCAATGCAAGTTTTAAATTCATGACATGATTTTACTGTAGCTTTAAATCTTAGCTTTTTTAGATTAGCTTAATCTGAGTTTTTCTCTTGGTTTTTGTTTTGAGAAAGTCAGCATTTAGATTTGAGGTGACCTTAGATGCATCTCTAAAATGTTTTTTTTTTTTTTCAGAGCCAAATCTCAGTCCTGCAGAACCGGATAGAGCAGCTGGAGCAGCTCCTGGAAGAAAATCATCAAATTATCAGCCACATAAAGGACTCTGTGATGGAGCTGACAGACACAGGAGCTGTGTCTCCCAGTGGCCACCTGCCATTTAAAAGTGCCAATGGATCCTGGGTCCTACCCTTTGATGGCCATCCCACTTTCCTCGCCGTAAAGCCTCAGGATTGCCAGTTTGCTGTGGCAAGTCGTGCTAAAACAGACGTTCAGGTGAACGAGCTTTTCTACAAAACAGCTGAAATGTGAAATGATCAAGTGTAATTTAAGGCCAACCAGTTGCTACTGAATAGTTTTTATTTTCATACTGGTAAAAGAAAATGGAGCAATTGGGACACGGCTACATAACGTCCCAAAGGATCTATTGCAAATGTCTGGCACCAAGGCTTCAGTAATAGATCCTTTGGGTCTTGTGAATAGTGTGGAGGGTTTCTTTGAATTGATGCTTTTTCACCTTTCGATCCCATTGGTTGTTATCTGAGATCTTTGGAGGTCAGCCAAACACTCGAGACTCTTTATCATCCTCATGAGACGCTTCTGAGCACCTTTTGTCTGAGCTTTGCATTTAATTGGATTAGTTTTGTTTTAATTTCAGCTCCAAACAATAACAGAAATTATGTAATTCACAAAAAAAAATCAGATTTGTCACATTTATCTTGTTCTAGTTTTATTGTCTTTAGTTTGATGTCTTTTCTGCGTTTTGTGGTGGAGTTTTAACAAACCAGAGCGAGAGCAAAACACACGGGCAATATTAAAAATGTCACAAATGCTGTAGGTTAATTATTTCTGTTTACAATCCCAACTAATTCTGTGTTATAGTGTTCAGGGATTTCTTTTTCTCCTATAGTTATATTTTCTGGCATCAACATTCCTGAAGAATAACACTTTTTTTCCTTCTGCTTGAACTTCTGGTCTTTAGTAGCAGCTTTTCTCTGCTTTTATAGCAGTTTTTTTTCTAGCCATGTTTGGTTCCTGTCACTAATCAACCAAGTGGAAATTTAAGTTTGTTAATTTATTATGAATGTTTTAAATTGAATTGATATATTACATAAATGTTTTAATTCGAAGTAGATCTGAACAAATTTTTATATTTTTCTTTTTAATTGATTCCTATAATTAAAGTAATTTTGGTCTCGGTAATTGCCAGCAAACATCTCAACTCTGCCACCTGCTGATATAAGTTGGTACCCGTAGTCTTCTTGTTTTGTGAACTTTAATATCTTGACTAACATGTTTACTTTAATTGGATTGCTGTGTGTATTTCCTCTTTTTTTTGAGCTTTTCTTTTTAATAAATGCTTGTTTCACTTTTAGATGCTGGATGTGTACTCCCTGCTAAAGTTTGATAACCCTGATGGTGGTGTATGGAAGCAGGGCTTTGACATTACTTACGAACCGGACGAGTGGGACAACGAACCGCTACAAGTATTTGTTGTCCCCCACTCTCACAATGATCCAGGTCAGTTGCTCACAGAGGAGTTTGTCTCGGTTTGTGGAGAGAAAGTCGTGATTTCATCTGAGCTGGAGGGTAGTAAGAAGGATGCACAAGTCAATTTAAATCATCCGCTATTTTCATCAGCATAATGCTGATATGATTGACGGCATGGCCGTAAACAATAGAATTAGGAGTACATTGCTTTTGGAAACCTGGCGCTATTTATAGATCAGCTGGGCTAAAATGTTTTAGTCTCCAGTGTTTCCATGGAGCTTGTTTACCAGCCTGTGATGGTGTTTTCTACTTTGACAGGTGCTGATTGATATGTTGACAGGATGCAGAGACTTGCAAATTGTGTCCATTAACAGTAGGGATGGGCTTTATTCAGGGCTGTTTTGCAGCCTGATTTCTAGACAAGTGTTTTTGCAGCAAATATTAATGTGACACTTTTGGAATAGGATGCAAGACGTTACGTCACTAGATTTAAACATTAAAGTAAGAACGTTTCAGTCGCTTTCCCGGAGCTATTTCTGCTCTGAATGGACTAGCTCTGCTTGAATAAAATATAAGTTTATTTCGGAGTCGTTGCTGCACATTATTTTTGCAGCTTTGAGTCTGCCTGCCTTTTTTTATTTTTATCTGTTGGCTAGATAAAAACAGTATTCTGTTTCTAGTGCTTCTGAGCTTGGTCCTGTGTTGATAGGTTGGGTCAAGACTTTTGACAAGTACTTCACAGACCAGACGCAACACATTTTGAACAACGTGGTCGTGAAGCTGGCCGAGGATCCTCGCCGGAAGTTCATCTGGTCTGAGATTTCCTTCTTCGCCAAGTGGTGGGAGACTGCAGACGTGTACAAACAGGAGGCCATGCGAAAGTGAGTTTCAGCTTTGTGAAGCAAGCGGCCATTTTCTCTCTTAATAGTCAGATTTAATTACATATTTTAAAGGTGTGGAACATGGGGAAAATCCGTTTTAAAATAATTTCTGATTATAGTAAGTCACTCTGAGTTTCTCGTGCAGGCTGAACATAAAAATAGTCTCCTACACCTATCTCCTGCATTAGCGTCTGATGGAGAGTAGACGGTGAAACTCCTGACAGATGTTCATCACACTGTCACTTAACGTTCATGTTTTCACCCATCTTGACTCACAACGAGGAAGGCTGTTGTTGGTTAAGCGTCCAGGAGTCGGCACAGAATATCTTGGCTAGTAGAAGCTAACTGTTAGCATTAGCAACTCCACCACACAGAACTCCTCCAGGCTTGCGCGATTAGTTGAGATAAAACATTAATGTTGCAGAGCAAACAGTCAGTGGTAGAGTTGTGTTGCTTTTAGCCAATCAGAGGTGAATGTTCAAATATCAGGAAATAAGTTTCCAAAACCTGCCGTCTGAAACTATTTTCTCCTCCAGCTGACTTGGACTTCCTGATTCAGGTGCATCTGGGCCTTTTTTTTTTATCCTGACCGTGACTACCAAGGCATTAATTCCTACTAGAGACCACTGCAAATGTATTGATTAAACAAGTGTTCGACACCTTTAAGAGCAGCATAGTGGAGGGGATATCTTATAGATTATGGGAAGCTCTGAAAGTAGCTGGTTACCTGGTTAGCGTGACTTTGCCACGTTAGAGCTGGATTATTCTCACCTTGATTCTTTAATCTCGTCTTTTGAACACAGGCTAATCCTTGGAGGACAGATGGAGATGGTGACCGGAGGCTGGGTGATGACGGATGAAGCCAACGCTCACTACTTCGCCATGATTGACCAGCTCATCGAAGGGCATCAGTGGTTGGAAAGAAATCTAGGTATGCACCGGATCAGAAATGATTCCTTATTAAGGCCCTGTCGTTAATATTCAGGGGAATGATGTGGAAACGCTTTAAGTGGCTCTTATGGGAACATTTTTGGGACTCTCGCCTTCACACGACTCTAAATTATTCCTCTCACCAGTGTGCTTGATGGTAAATTGAGGCTCGACATCATCCCACATGCAGCAGTTGCAGCGTTACGCTCTGTGGGTGACAAAATGATCTGTGGTACTTTCAGTGCATCTCGGTGCGGAGGGGGATTTCCTTTAAAGAAAAAAATCGTATTTCTGTCTTTATCCAAGCGTATAACTGAAATGCTTGCTTCCTGTTTGATGTCACAGGTATAACTCCTATCAGCGGGTGGGCGGTGGACCCGTTTGGTCACAGCGCCACCATGCCTTATCTCCTGAAGAGGGCCAACCTGACCAGCATGCTCATCCAAAGGATCCACTACTCAATTAAAAAACACTTTTCCTCCACCCGCAGTCTGGAGTTTATGTGGAGGCAGGCATGGGGTGAGTGGACTAGCGCCAGCGACGACTATGAGCTCATTTAAGGACGAGCCAAGCTACTTTTCTGACATTTTTAAAAACCAAGGTGAATTTTGGAAAGTAAACACTGAAATAGCCTCAGCAGCTGTCTGTTATCCTTTCTGAAGGAACTTAACAGCAGTCATGGATTTACTCATTTTCTTATATCAGTTTGTGATGAGTCAGTGCTCATATATTAACAACTTAACAGGTCTTAGGATTAATTTTCTATCTGCGCTTCATTAACAGACACCGGGTCGAGCACGGACATGTTTTCCCACATGATGCCCTTTTATAGCTACGATGTGCCTCACACCTGTGGACCCGATCCGAAGATCTGCTGTCAGTTCGACTTTAAGAGATTACCCGGCGGTCGCATCAACTGTCCCTGGAAAGTGCCTCCAAAAGCAGTGGTGGAGGCCAACGTGGCAGAAAGGTGAGTTTAGTTTACCTTTTAGGATTGAATAAATCCATGAAATTAACGGGTTAAATCCAAATGAACAGGTTTGGTTTGTTGAGATTAGTTTAAAATATTCATTAGTCAAAAGCATTAGTAGTGGTCAGCGGGTGTAGTTCTTTCTGCGTGGTGTCTAGGTCACAGGAGATTTGTCAGTGGACTGTGTTTTCTGTAATGGCCTCTTAATAAACTCGACTTGAACTGGTGCCAGCGACAACAGCCAGAGTGAAAATGAACTGAGGGAGGTGGACATGTCCTAGAGTCTCATCATGGAGCTTTTAGAGGTTTTTCCAATGAAAAATGCCTCCAGAGTCAATTAGATCCGTTTCAATCATGCAGCGTCGCAATTTCCTAACCAAACTGTCAAATGCAAATTTCTGCTCCTTCTCATCCTCCTCCTCTTTTTATGCAGAGCACAGCTGCTTTTGGATCAGTACCGTAAAAAGTCGAAACTCTACCGCAGCAAGGTGCTGCTCGTTCCTCTCGGAGACGACTTCCGCTACGACAAAGCCCTGGAGTGGGATCAGCAGTACATCAATTACCAGAAGCTGTTTGACTACATGAATTCTCACCCCGAGCTGCACGTTCGGGTGAGGAAATGGTGCACAGGCTGCCAAAACACTCCTTGTTTTCTTTCTCGTTGTTTTCATGCCTATCAGGATGAAGTGTGCTCAGAATTGCAGTGAGAATGAATTATGCAGTCGGCTTTTTAACTCGCTGACAGAACAAAGAATCTGTCATCGCTTGATGTCTGGTACAAAAGATGTAATGTGTGATGTAAGATGAAAAGCCTGCGCATAACAATGAGACTTTTATTTATTTTGTTTAGCTGTTTGTGTTTTTTTAACTGTGTACTCTTCCTGACTCCTCCAGGCTCAGTTTGGGACTCTCACAGATTACTTTAGTGCGTTGTACAAGGCTTACGGAGTGGCTCCAGGATCTCGACCAGGGGACTTCCCTGTGCTCAGTGGAGATTTCTTTGCCTACGCGGATCGGGAAGACCACTACTGGACTGGTTATTACACCTCTCGCCCCTTTTACAAAAGCCTGGACCGTGTGATTGAGTCGCATCTCAGGTAGAGTCGATTTTTAATGGTGCATCACTCATGAAGTCAACAGAGAAAATTCTTGTAAAATGTAAAAATCTAAGATTTTTTCTGAATTTGTTTTAATAATCTGTCTCATTTTGCAAAATTAAACAAAAACTGAGTCTGTACAGGGTATCCGCGGGTCCTTAAAAAGTCTTAAATTTGCTTTTCCAAATTTAAGGCCTTAAAAATCCTTAAAAATGACATAATCCTTAAATACAGTTTCCAAAGGTCTTAAATTACCAAAGACCCAATAAACAAGATTATTTTATTTCTATATAATTTTCGTGAGTTTCTAGTCCGTGTTCAGCATTTTTTGTGTATGATGTTGACGTAAGTGGAACCGTACACATTCAGTTGGTTGTGAAAGGGGGCTATTTTTAGATGAGCACATTAGCTGGTTAAGCTAGTGGGAGCTTGCACCATGGGGAAGTGCAAGTTTAATGGTAACTGGATGGTTAATCCCAAGTTTGCGACGTGGTTAGCACCGGTTCCAGGCAATAGCTGGAAATTATAGCTTCAATTTAATTTTTAAAAATAGCTTAAATTTGGTCAAAGTGGCCATAAAAAAAGGTCTTAAAAAGTCTTAAATTTGGCTCCCTTAAACCTGCAGATACCCTGTCTGTAGTTCACTGAGCAAATATGTTCTTATTTGATTGTCCTCCAGGGGGGCGGAGATCCTCTACAGCCTGGCGGTGGCAAACGCTCGCCATGCAGGGATGGAAGGACGCTACCCTGTCTCCGACTACGCCCTGCTCGTTGATGCAAGACGGTCAGTCGGCCTCTTCCAGCACCACGACGCCATTACTGGCACCGCAAAGGAGAATGTCGTCATCGACTACGGCACCAAGTAGGACTCGGAGAGCTGAGGAAGAACATCACTTGTTAATTAATTCTCATTGGTCATGATGTGAGCATCTCACTTTTCCATCTCAGATTGCTACGAGCACTCATCGGTTTGAAGAGAGTCATCATCAATGCTGCTCATTTCCTGGTGATGAAGAACAAAGAGTTTTATCGCTTCTACCAGACAGAGCCCTTTCTGGAGACGGTGAGTGGAAACGTCCACTGATGCATCTGTCATCGCATCGTTAGCGGATGAAAAGAAAAAAAAAACAAAATTATTGCATTTTCTGAATATGTTCTGAAACGTATTCAACACCTGCAGGATGACAGACGTGCTACTCAAGACTCTCTGCCTCAGCGCACCTTAATCGAGCTGGACCCAGCAGGGCCGAGGTTTTATTCCACCCTCTCACAGCTGCTGCCACTCCTACATCCTTCTGAGCTCCTGATTGCTATTTCCTCCTGTCTGTCCGCCAGGTACTTGGTTCTGTTCAACCCCATCGAGCAGGAGCGTCTGTGCACGGTGACAGTGTTGGTGAACACGATGCGGGTACGGATGCTCACTGAGGACGGACAGACTCTCCCGGTGCAGCTGAGTCCTCAGTGGAGCTCTGGGACTCAAATGAGTGCCGAAGTGTTTGAGGTAAGATGACTGATGTTTACGAGACTGCTGGTTTCTGCAGAGAAGTCTGTATTGTGTCTGGGAAAAGGGGTAAACAAAAGCCCCAAACCTGCACACAGTTTTGCTGCTGTTAATCTTTTATACTTCAGGGACGAAAAAGTCTCAAAGAATGCATCTTATCTGCTTTTCTAGTTAAATATTTTCTTTAAAGCTTTATCTATATTTGTTTTCTTCACATCAGTCTATTCAGTCAGGGTCTAAACAAAAGTCGTCCTTCAGAGTAAAAAAAAAACAACTAAAGTTGAATCTTTGCTTGTATCTTCAAGTATTTAAGCTTTTGCTTCAGTGTCACTTTTATTTGTGTTTTTAACTATAAAGCTGTTCGCTCACTTAAAAAAAAATTTCAGTTTCCATGGAAGCCAAAATACAAAGGCTCTAATTAACTCCACCTTTGTTCACTTTTTAATTCCAAAGCTTTTAACTTTAAATCGGAGCCGTTTGTTCAGCACTCGTTTAATTAAAAGGAACTTTTAGACGGGAGTGTTTTGGGTTTTGCTCTTGTTTGCTGCTCTTTGTTATAAATTCATATCAAACCTTTCTTCTGCCCAGGCAACATTCATGGTGCGTTTGCCGGCTCTTGGTCTGGCGGTTTTCCATCTCTACGACTCCGCGGACTCGCCCATGACCTTCCGCTCCGACATCGTTCTCAGGCTGCCTAGTCAGAGCATCACCGCTCGGGCCCTGGATCCACTTCCTGTCCGCTCTCAGCCGGCTGACTCTCAGACCTTCTACATCAGCAGTCAGACGCTGACGCTGGGTTTCTCTGGAACCACCGGGCTGCTGGAGGTGAGTGTTCTTTTTGCTTCCTTCTATATTAAAGCAGATTTTTCATATTTTTAGGTCATTTTCTTGAGTCGGTATGCGCTAAAACGATCCTTTTACAGGGTGAACGAAAACTGTCTGAGCCCCTTCTGCCCCTTCTGAGCAGGTGAAGCCTCAGAAGAGATAGAAAACATTCATCTGATGAAGCTAAAAAATAAAAAGGGCATCCAACCACAGACAAGAGTAAATATTGGGAGTTTTCTAAATGGCGAGTGCTCAGACATTATTCCTGCATGTTTTAGATCATGAACACAGGTGATTTGCCTGATTTTGTGATGAACCACTCATGTAGACACTAATGAAGGCTGAGGAGACATTGCAGCAGTTAGATGAAGGTGTTAAAAACACAAACACACAGCGAGGAGTTTCAGGTTTGGTTTTATCACAGTGAACTAAAACGGACATTAAAGGGTTAAAAAAGCCAAAACTGCAAAGTTTCCTTTTAAGTCAAGCTGGATTTCCACATAAAGCGTAGCTCCCTCATCAAAGTGAGCAGGGCTCGTCTCGTTGCTACTAAATCAGCCTTTCATCTGTTCCTGCTTTTTGTTGCTTTTCCATCTGCAGAGCATCAAGCGGAAGGATGATAACCTAGAAGTGAAGGTTCACATGCAGTTCATGGTCTACGGTACGCGTCCTTCCAAAGACAAAAGTGGAGCTTACCTCTTCCTGCCAGATGGGAAAGCAAAGGTACTCTCTCGATTGAGTCGCTCCTGTAGTTTCCTCTGAGGGACGGGATCTCCCGTGGTTTTCATCTTATTTTATCCTGCTGGGAAGCTCAGGGTAGAAATCCTGTCAGACTGGCTGCTGCTGTGTCATCTCTGGATTAAAGATCTAAAACCTCCTGCTTCCATGACTGTATTACGTTTCCAGTTGCATCTTGTTTTGAGCGTTGCCTCGTCGTCTTCATCACAGCTCTCTGCCTCTTTGTGTTTGCAGCCATACAACCAGAAGGAGCCACCTGTGGTGCGCGTGGCTGAAGGGCCTCTCTTCTCTGAAGTGGTGGCACAACACCAGCACTTCCAACAGACCGTCCGCATACACAATGTGCCAGGTAATAAACGCTCAAACTGCACCATGAAGCCAGCCCTAGCTCCTTTATTTTCATAGTTAAATACACCAGCTGGTGCGACGTGACACGAGCCAATATATTGGACGAAATGCCAGTTCTGATTTGTCTGTTATCTCCCTCATTGTGTATTTGTAGGGGTGGAAGGTTTATCAGTAGACATGACCACAATGGTGGACATCAGAGATCAGACCAATAAGGAGCTGTCCATGCGACTGGTCACCAGCATTCAGAGTGGAGATGTCTTCTACACGGACCTAAACGGCTTCCAGGTCGACTCAAAGGGCCAATAAGAAATAATCGCTTGGTTCTTGCTGTGTAATAAGAAAATAACCCGTTCTGTTATCTGCTCTGGTAGATTCAGCCCCGCCAACACCACCCAAAGCTTCCGTTACAGGGTAACTTCTATCCGATGCCCAGCCAGGCATACATCCAGGACAGCCGCCACCGCCTCACGCTGCACACGGCCCAGGCTCTGGGTGTTTCCAGTCTGGAGAGCGGTCTGTGATCATTGTGCTTTGGGTTTCCTCCTAGAACGTTATCTTAGAAATGTTCTTATTTTGCTCTATTGTTTTGCTTATATATATATTTTGGGTTTAAAATCCTTTTTCAGGTCAGCTGGAGGTGATTCTGGACCGGCGCCTGATGCAGGATGATAATCGGGGGCTGGGTCAGGGTCTGAAAGATAACAAGAAGACAGCAAACCGTTTCCGACTGCTGCTGGAAAGGAGGTCTCCCGGCAACAAGGTTGGCCCGATGATGACAAACATGTTTTTTGAAGCTGTATTGTTCAATTCAAATTCAAAGATAATTTATTAATCCCAGAGGGAAATTAGAGTTTCAGTACACACAATTCTGAGATCAGACATACATAGGCATAGACACATGACAAGAATTGGTGACTGTGGTCATTCGCAACCCGAGTGGCGCTACCTTAATAGAGATGAGAGGGTTTATATGAGGATTGGGTCAGGTGGAGGAAAAAAGGGCACTTCAGAGTGCTTTGCTATGCAAAAAACACCTCAGACAGAAATGCAACAGACTTCAGACATTACACAACATAAGTGTCCACTAGGTGGGGAGGTAGGGTTGGGGGCTATCCACACATCAGTGCATGCAGCCGCGATAAGCAGCGCTCGTCACCTCCGTTTGGACAGGGGAGGGAGGTAGTTGGGTTTTGAGAGCACAGTGACTCCTGGAAACGTTTCAACGGCCTTCACTGGTCGCAGTCCCACCCAGGCTGGGATAGGGAGACAGAGTTGCCATGGCGATGTCAGCATTCCACATTTCTTCTGAGGGGGAGTAATCTCTTCAGCCTCACAGGCTCAAGGGCACCAGATTCAGATAAGAACTTGTTTTGGGGCCAGACAGAGATAATTTCCTCTCTGTCTTAAAGTTCTGTTGATCTCCAACCCCTCCAATAATGGCGTAAATTAATCTATCCTAATCCGTGCTGATCTGTCAACTCTATCCTTGATGGCATCAACCTTCTGTGCCAGAGTCTGAATCTCAGCCAAAGTTCCAAGCTTACGACTCATCTCGACAATCGTATTAGTTTATGCGTTCACAGCGCGGTGTAATCCATCCCTGAGCTCCGGGATCGAGCCAATATTCCTCGACAGCTCATTAATTTTCCGGTAAGCCGGGTAACCGCTCAGGCCAAACAGCATGAAACCTGACACCGACACCACGAATATCCAGACGTCTTCAGAATCCTCTACTGACAGTTGAGAGAGGCAGATCAGGTTCCACTGTTTCCAGGAGTCCATGATATGCCCAGCTGTCTCTGTCCCAGATGGGCAACCGGTAGCCCCTTCTCCTTGAAAAAATGTTGTCAATCGTGTTGAGAGACCAACTGACCAGATCCATTTAAGTAATTTCCAGTTTCCAGAACAAAATGCAGAAGCGCCGTACACCCAAAGGCAGACAAAGAGCCTTGGGATAAGATAGGAAGGAGAGGAGGAAAAAAGCGTCTGAACTCTCCAAGAGCCGGAAGAAGAAATCCTAGCTAACCATAATCTAATCCCTCGTGTACATTTGATGTAACAAAGATGATGTCCTCCCCCTGCCTCACCAGTAACACTTCTCCTCTCTTCCAGTGATCATTACAGTTCCATCTGTCTTTTGGGTATCTTTTCTCCACTCGCTAATTTTGTTTCCCCTCTCTGCTTTTTTCCACTCCATTACTCAGCATGATGGCTTCTTTGCCAAACTCTCGTCCTTGTTTCATTCTTTCATCTCTAAAATGTTGAGGGAAGGAGTTCATGAGGTAATGTTGCCTTGGCAACAGCGAGGATGCTTTTTTAAACCAGCGTCAGTCATAGCTGTCTAAATTGTAGCTCCAGTTTAGTTTCTTTAGTCTCCCCTCCACCTCCTAGGTCTAGATGAACAGCCAAGTAAACTAATGATGGAGTTTATCTGGATGTAGGCTGCTGTAGAAGCAGCACTTAGCCATCCCAATGTCTCATATCCTAAAAGACTGTGATAATTTAAGATGTAGGAAGTGACATCACAAGGGTGTGTGTGATGAGACTAGAAGTAGATGTTCCTATTATGACCTCTGTAGAAACCTCTCCAGAGATGATGCTCTAACGATAATCTGCACTTTTCTCCAGATGGACAGCACAACTACAAGCTTCCCGTCTACGGTGAGTCACATGACCGACGCCCTCCTCAACCATGACGTCTTGGCGCTGCCTGTTCTGCCCAAAAGACGAGGCGTCCCTCCTCTTCAGACCTTTGCCCCGCTTAAGTCCGTCCTCCCCTGTGATTTCCACCTGCTCAACCTGCGGAGCATTCAGAGCCAGGTAAATGGAACAAAACAAAGTTTTACACTCGAGATGTTCTTTACTCTAATCCTTTTCCTGTTTACGTGAGCAGCAGGATCCCCAGTCTCCGTCTCAGTACACCGCCTTGATTTTACACCGCCTGGCGCTGGACTGTGGCTTTGAGGCTCAGAACCTCGGCTTCAACTGCACCACCACCGAAGGACAGGTGGGCTGTTTCTCCTCAGCTACTGAAACATAAACGCATGAAAAATTCCCTTTGTGTTTTAGACGCTACCTGGGGTGGTCTACTGTTCATAACTCGGTTGAGAAGTTTTTAAATCTACTTATTTTTGCTCATAATTGTGAAACCTATCTGCTTCAAGAACAGGTTTTAGTGTTAATACAGACGAGGCCACATTTTAGTTCGAGCTTCTGCTACCAGTGTTCATCTTCACACATATTTTTATTTAGTTTTAGTCTTTTGACTAATATCCTTTTTAATTTTAGTGGACTAAAATAAACCATACTGCTGATGCAATCGTTTTCAACTTGTGCAAAGGAAATGTTAACTACACCTACTTGGAACTGTATAGAAATATGAAAAATTCACATTTCACACTTTGGATCATTCATTTAATAACGGCAATTAATGGAAAATACCAAAATGAACACTGACCATTTTGAAAGTGTCTCTCATTATTAAAAAATAAACATCTGTATATTGTGTAGTAATATTTGTAAACGTGACAGGAAATGACATCATACATCAAAACATTAGAAGGTATTACTCTAATAATGTGAGGGGGTAAGCTAAAGGTAAGAGATGTATTCAGGAGTTTTATTGCACAAAAGCCTTTTTAAAAATCTTTAAATAACGCCACTAGAACAAAAAATGCTGATATCGGCCGTAGCAGCGCCACAAAAGAACGATTAACGACCGATGCGCCGCTCTATCAGTTCGGTTGCAGCAGCAGTAATCTACTCCTGACCTCTCCCGCTCGTTCCTATCACCGTAACGCTTTTAAAACCAGGGCAAACCCCGGATGTGTACTCGCCAAGCAAATACTTGTCAGATTGTCACATCTAATGCGTTTCCTCCTCAGCCGTGGACATTTTCTCCTTTTTAGAAATAAATAGTTCAACTGTTGCTGGCAGCTTGTTCAAACAGGGGCCGGCTCTGGACTCTGATTGGTTCTTTTCCCGTCTGGTCCGGCCTGTTCCGTTTGAGGATCGGTTCTTTTTCTCGTTTTATTATCTTTTCCGTTTTCTGATAGGATTTTCATTGATATTCGTCATAATTTAGTCTTTATGGACGTACATTTAGCTTTTGTGTTTGGTCTGCAAAAATTCGTTTGTCAAGATGAAAAACCTGAAAATATTTCGTCAACAAACATTAACACTGTTTTGTCAATAAGTAAACAAATAAATGTAATTTCTTTAAAGTTCACGTCCGTCTTACACTACTTCCTTCTGCAGCTGACTGTATCGAGTCTCTTCAAGAACCTGGACCTGCAGCTACTCCAGCCCATGTCCCTGACTCTGATGCACTCTAGCACACCTCTGGCCAACGACTCCACCATCAGCCTGGACCCCATGGAGATCTCCGCCTACAAGATCAAACTGCGCTAAGAGCCGACCTGAGTAAAAAAAGCACGTCGGACTCCTTGGACCAAAAACCAAGCCGGCCAAATCCTGGGTTTGTCTGGGTTGTTGAGCAGAACCACAAACACTACGGCTCGCAGCAGCAGGGGTTCGCTGTAACAGGACTGGCTGCACAGCAAGGGGTGGGCGATCGCTGTTATCACAGATGTGGGGGAGCGCAACACAATCCAGGTGTATTAGCAGCTGTTCCAGCCCTGGAAGGACTGCCAGAATCGCTCATCAGATCCAGCTGGGTGTGTGTGTGTGTGTCTGCAATCAGAAATGAAATTTTTCTTTTGTAAGAACTTTTCTATCTCTGTTCCATCCTGGACGAAACTTCTGAATGTAAATATCTCAAACAACGGAGGCGGGGACGGGCGCCTCGCTGGTGCAATTCACAAAGCTTTATCAGCCGTAAGGAGTTGATTAGATATATTTTTACTTCAAACGAGGGGGGAATGGATCATGTTTTTTTTTTGTTTTTTTACCAATCAGTCTGTTTACCGTTTTTTTGTTTTGGAAAGACTTGAATGCAGCGGATCGAATGTGTGCTCATCATGAAAGCGAAGCTGCGAATTCTTGAGGCGTCTAATCATCAATCATAAAGGACGACTCCTCCCCTCCTGTCCTCTGTCGCTGCTTGTAGATGGTCTGAGATTTTCTGCTGTCCCGTTCCTTCCTGTTTGCTGATGAGACGCCTGTCGGGAGATGCCATCGGTCATGTCTGAGAGGGTTTATGTAGCAAATATGTATGCAAAGATTAGGCTGACATCCACGCACAGAGGATATAACGGCGTTTAAGTCTAAAAAGTGAAATGAGATTTATTATATTGGGTGTTTCAGGGACCAGTGGGTTATTGATAGATGTGTGTGTGTGTGTGTGTGTGTGTGTGTGTGTGTGTGTCACCAAGTTGTGGAATGTTTCACAAACGGGTCAGTCACTCAAAATTGCAAAAACATCAATTTCTTGCCTTTATCGGCTGGTTCAGTTTGCTATGTTCTAGATGACGGGATGAAAATGATCAACTCTAGCAGGTGCGTTATGATCCTTTTTGATTTTAAGAAATATTTTTGAGCCTCTTAGCAAAATATCTTTAATAATTTCTTTTTTCACATTTATTCTGCTTCAAATTCCAAACCCAGATGCTCATTTATATAGAAAATGAGCAAAGAGGTCTTTTTTATATTTGCTTAATAAGCCACAGCTCATAAGCACCAAATCCAAATCAGACCTAATACTAGTGTTGACTTATTCAGAGGTTCAGGGTCATTTCTTCTGCGCTGCCCGTTTGTTCCATTTCTTTAATCTACGCAGAAACAATCCCACCAAAAAGAGGATTTCTCCAAACTACGGGTTGCTTCTAATCATTCCCACTAAAGTTGAGGGTTTTTCTTCACATCGGAGTGTCATTTTGATTAACTGACCCAATAATAATCGGTCGAATCGAACCACGAGCAGGGATCCTCGGCACAGAGGAAAGTAATTTTGTATTTCTGAACAAGCTGCAGTTTGAGCTCCGCAGTGTTCTTTACCTCAGGGCTGTCTTCAGGCTCTGTCTGCCACTTACAGCTGCTGGGGTGTGTGTGTGTGTGTGTGTGTGTGTGTGTCGTTATGTCTGAAGTCTAGGTCGAGCTTTGAGCTGCACAGCCATCCCTCCCTACTATCGACATGCATACCCTACTCCCTCGTTCATATCTTCATAGGTCCGTGGCTTTGCTGCTGTCCTCGTCTGACCTACGATAAGTCCCCCCCCCCCCCCCCCCTTCCAGCTGTGGTTAACATCTGCTAGCCCAGACTCAACACCTTTTGATTTGCACTGTCTGCTGACGTCATATAAGTGATTCCCGTTGTGCTGTTTGTTCAGATGTAACATGAAGGCAGGCTTTTCTCTGTTGAGGTGGTGGTGGGGTGCAAAATAAATGAGGTGAGAATAATAAGAATAAATAAATCAAAACACTCACATTCTGTTTTTTTAATGCACTAAAAGATTTCCCCACTCTTAGTTGTTCAAGTCTTGAGCAGCAGGGGGCAACATTAAGTCGCTTTGAGCAAAACTCTTTCCTCCAGATGTTGTCAGATTGGAGCACCTCGGTGATCGGACAGTCTCCTGAAGAGCTGAGCTCTTCCCAAAGTGAACATTCGCCTCTCCAAACCTGCAGGAAGAAAAAAACCCTCCATATTTACCACCCTGAGGAAAATGTGTTCAAAGTATCAGCGGCAGCAGTTCTACATAAAAAGAAACGCTTCCAAAAAGCAAATCAGGTGGAAAGAGTGAATAGTGGTGGCAGGAACATCTCTGCACTGCATTAATGGAGGAAAGAGAATAACATGGTTGTGTCCGGGGGGGGGGGGGGGGGGGGGGGCACAGATTTGTTGTCTTCCAGTTCAGCCCAAACAATGTGTGACCTTCTCTAACAGACTCGATGTCTAATCTAAAAGTGGAATCGCTTAATGGGTTTCTGATTTGTTTGAGCCGTTTTAATTACTGTAACATTTCCTGCTGCTGTCCGTTACAGTACAGTGCATGACGGGCCATTATTGCGAGCTAAAGCCAGACGGTGTGTAATTATGATGTGAATGAGGGCTCAGACACCTCTGGAGCTTATGTGTTACAAAACAAGATGCATTTGAGGGGCGCTGAAATGTGCAGCCAGTTTTCCCAGCAGATCCAATTACAGACCACAGAATGAAAACACCTTTACGTACGAGCCCAGCTACCTGCAGCTTTGTAGAAAAAAAAAGCTGCTAATCTACTCTTTGAATATGATGTCTCATGACTGCAGCAGCATCCTCTGCAGCTGGATACCATGAGGAGAGAACGCTGCTGGCTCCCTGATAAAGACCCGCAATTCTGAAAGAAGCATTGGTGAGGGTGACGTACCGCCATGAAGAAGTGATGAACCATCTGCTCTGTCAGGTGGTGTTTGTGTTCCCGGGACTCTGTTTAAGACGCCTGAAGCCCCTTAAAGTTTAAACATCTGGCAGTGAAAAAGAGTCCCAACAGTGCAACAGCTAAAGTTTTTTTGTTTTTATTGTTCCATTATAAAACTGATCTCCACAATATTGTCGTTATCGGTTAAATTAGAAAAAAGCTACAAAGCAAACATAGAAAAGGCAAATACAAGATCTCATCACTTTGGCCTTTGGATCTAAAGGCTTTGCTTTAGCCTGTGTAGCTGGGAGCCTACACAGAAACAGGAAATGGGTGCATCAGTTTTTTTTTTTTTGCTGAACACAAAACGGGAGGAAACTCCACCTTGATGAAAACATTCTGGCAGAGAAGCCCTAAAACCAATAAGCAGGATGCTCTGTTGGGGAGAAAATGAGCAGAAAACGATCATATTTCCTACCAGCAGCCGATTGGGACAATGTTTCCAAAGGTCGGCCAAGCAGCTCTGGGCTAAGTGCTTTTATAATGCCATTAAAAACACTGTTAGTCTACAAGTCAGTGAGCTTCTCTGAGTGATTTATCACAAACGTCTTCCCACCGAGGCATGACTCAAAAACAGAACATCCTCCACACTTCTCCTGCTCAAACAGCCTGTGGGGTGTTTTTTTCCCTCACTGTGGCATCCCACTGTGCTGCAGAAATCTTCAATTTAAAGTTTTCCAACTATTAAAAAATCAACAAGGCAACCTTGTAACCCCTGCTCTGCAGTGTGCTGAAGCTGAATGTGTAATGGCAAACTTATCAAAGCTGGGTTTGTGTTCGTGGTGAACCACCATGGCATGTTTGATGAAGTAATGAGCCCGACGGCTTAAAGGTTTCTTCTGGAGTTTAGTCGACTCCTCGCAGACCCTAGCCTACGTCTCAGGCTGGGGTTACTAATATGTCGAGGCTGAAAAATAAAAACTCTCATTGCAACAGGATTAAAGTTTTTTTTTAAGGAACTATGTTAGGGGAATCATAAGTAGGGATGTCCCGATACAACTTTTTCACTTCCGTTACGATACCGATATTGCAGCCTTCAGCACTGACCGATACCGATATCAATCCAATACAATATCAGCAAAAACCATATATACTTTTACCTATTTCGTAGTGTGGAATGTATGAAAGCCTTGATCAAGTGATATTACTCAATCGGAGAACAAGAACCAGTAACAGTATGAAAAACACGATCATTCTTTTTAAACACTGGTTGCAAAAATGCGAGCCTTAATGGACTGCTTATATGGGAGATTTTTGATGCAGTCAGATATAAACCAATAGTGTTTTTAGGCCGACGTCGAATTACTTCTGATATCAATATCAGGACATCCCTAACATAGAGTGCTGTGAAAAAGGATTTGCCTCCTTATAGGTTTTGTTTTTGCTCACATTTAAAGGTGTAAAATCCACTTTTTGGAGCATTTGACCATATTTTATTGTTATTTCCTCATCAAAAACACCCCCAAAGCCTTTTTTGGGCTTCATGCATGAATCCTCCCTCAGCTGCTGGTCTGCTGAGCTATTTCAAACGGCTGATTAGAACAGGCTTGTGTCTCCTTGTCCCGCCCCTCTCTATAAAGGACGTAGCTAACCTGCCCGCTCCTCCCCTGGACTGTAAACACTCATGCTCACTCTCTCAGAGCAGCAAGCAGTGATTTCATCTCCACAGTTGTGAAAAAGTGATTTATTTCTAATCTAGTCTGCACTTTTGATAATGTCTAGAACATGAAAAAGGATTTATGTCTGTATGGGATCCCTGTCCTGTCTTCCCGAGGAAGAGTTTAATCACCAGAACTGGTTGAATTTCATCCTCAGGAGCTCTCAAAAACCAGACTGCTTGTTAAACCACCACCAGTACCGGAGTGGGTTTTCAGATGGATTACTTCTTCAAATTGGCTCCATTCCAACATTAAAACAACCTGATGGATAGGCCAAGGCGGTGAGTACAACCAAAATGCTAACCGCTAGCTGAATGGTTACAAAGTTTGATGGGGTGTGCCTGTTGCTAAAGCTTCACCTTCTGCTTTGTGGCTCACGATGCTCTGCTCACGGGTCACGTCATGAAATGAGTGGAACTCACGGGGGGGGGGGGATTTTGTCAAATCAAAGTATCTTATTTCCGGGTTTAATAAACCCAAAAAAAAAAAATTACATTTCAGATCTGATGCGGTTTCCGTATTAATGGTAGTATTTGATTATATACGGGCCTGCCGTAGCTCTGGAAAGTGTAAAATAGCATGCCACAGATCCCTTATATGTGTCAGGTCAGCCAAAAAATAACACACAATCACGACTAAGTGAAAACAAGCAAAAAAGAGGATAATCCTTTCTCACAGCACTGTTTTTGTTGTTTTTTTGGATTTTGCCACAAAGTTTTAAACTGGTTCAAAATCATCAGAATGACTCATGATGAGTACTATCCTTGCATAACACCTTGTGTTGGTGACAGAGATTAGGGATTAATAAATATACCTCATATGAAAGTACTGATCGGATAAATAACACATAAATAGATCAGGTGATGTGGATGGAGCTGATGGGACAGTAAGGCCAGTGGAAAGTCCCGTCTGCTGCAGCTTACTCAGCTACAGCGAGCTCTGCGTTTTGATAAAAGCTGTCCTCTCGCCGTGACGGTCCACATCCTCGCTGTCTGATTCAGACCCGTAGACCATTGTGTCCTCGTCCGCCCACACAGTGGGGATCCCCTTATAGCAGATCCGAGTCTTCCTCTCCCGCCTCCTGTGGAAGCCCAAACCAAAACCCGCCCGCGTCCTTCTGGTCTCTGCAAACACAGAGGGCAGTTTGGTCCTCCAGGCCACTGAAGCCTCGCCTGAGCGTAGCTGCAGCAAGAAGAAGACCCCGGCAAAGGCAGCCAGGATGAAGGCACAGCTGAGAACCGCTATGATGACGGGCAGCTGAGTGGGCGGAGCTACACGGAGCGCAGGTGGCTCCTTGGGTTCTCCGCTGCTGTGATCTGCAGCTTGGCCCGTGGCCTCTGACTCGACCTTTTCACCCTGGAATCCCGGGGCAAGAGGGGATTTACGCTGGACCTGGTTCTGGTGCAGACAGGAGGTGAGGACCAGATGGCTGTGAGGCGGGCAGGACAGGCAGTCCGTCGCTCCGGTGCCGGAGCAGGTGAGGCACGCTGAATTGCAGGGGAGGCAGGCCTGCACGGAGGACAGGTCCACCCAGTTCTCTAGAGACAGGTTAAGGAGCTGTGGTCCGGATGTGAAACCTGGGGGACACAACTTCACACAACCCTGGAGGAAGAGGGAGAAGCCGGGGCTGCACTCTGGAACACAAAAACACAAGAAAAGATGCTTCAGTTCTTTACAGAAACCAAAATCCTCACGAGAGCATCTAAAAAGGTCCAAAAATGATTAATCACATTGATTGGCTTTTACTTTGAAACTCAAACGATCTGTTTCTTCTGCCTCATTTCTACAAATTCAGACAATTTCTCTATTGTCCTTTTATCTTTCATGCTTTCCAGGAGGTTTCTCTTTAAAAACTCAATCTTTTATCTTTTTATTTAATCTGAATCATCTCGTTTGATAAAAGAAATATATGCAAGAGAAGACTGCATGGATGTAAAGATGTTTTCTTTTCCAAGTTGTCCCAGACTTCTATTAAATCGGCGATGACATCATTGAGCCCCACCCTCTCTTTCCAAATGTTATTATTATCATTTTAAGTACGTATTTCTAATAAATCTGATTGGAGAGCATGACGCATGATCAAACAGCTGCAAGCATCTGTCAGTGGAGATGTCTGAGCAGGATGAAGTATGGAGACTCCATCTGCTGAAAGGTCTGTTCAGTCCTGAGGCTCACAGCGCAGCTCCTCACACACAGGAAACACGATCTCTTCAAGAATAGAGAAAAAAATTATTCTGCAGAGCAACTCTACAGCAACAAATTCTACTTCTGCTGCTTTGATTGCTGCTGTTTCATGAATCAAAGTGGATTAAACTCTGATATTTGTACAATTCTGAAAGGAAATCTGCTCACACCTCAGTCCCAGAAGCTCAGAGGTCAAACCGTTCTTGGTCGGTGAAATTTGCTCACAAATCACAAAGCTGAGTGTCCCACACATTAGCTCTGGATTTAGGATAATTTTCCTCAAAATAATAAAAAAATTAAAATAATGCATGGAAAAAAGAAACTTTTTATTTCTCCATGATGAGATTGTGTTTCATCAATTTTTGTCTCTTTCAGTAACTACGTTTTTCATTCCAGCTAATCTTTCCAAACGTAATTATCTTATTGTTCTAGTTTTTAATCTGCTTCCTCTGGAGTAATTTTTCTGTATTTTTAGCTTCTTATTTGTAGAGTTGGACTTCCTTTCTGGGAAGTCATTAGGAAGCTGCAGACATGTAAATGAAAGGATTAGCAGGAACTGTTGTAATGTAGTTTTAATCTGAATAATTAAGAAGAAACAATCCGACTGGCAACGAGAGATGTGTCCGACCTCATCTGGCTCTCGTGGACACGGCTGGCAAACGTGCACCTCGTCCATTGCTGCAATCTCGCCTGCAGTCCAAACACACCCCGCACTCTCGGATGACATATGGCAACGTGCTAATGTATTGTGCACGCACAAAGATGTGCACAAGAGGCTTGTGAATAAGTCATCCGCTGACCCGAAGTAGTTTTACTTTAGTGACGAAGCGTCAGCATCGATACAAACGAGATCATTCTCACCGATACAAATCTGCTGGGCGTCGAACGTCTTGCAGCTGTTGTTGGAGGGTCGAGGGAAGTCAGGTGAGGAGGGGTTGACGACATTGGGTCCAGTGCCCCACAGGATGAGCGTGAACTGACTCAACACACCTGAGAGGGAAACAGAGAAGTCACGTGAGGCAGGCGGGTGCAAAGAGGTGGATGAAAATATAAATTTAGCAGCTCTCAGGTCGAGGCAAGGAAACGGGGGCGGAAACAAGCCAAACACAAGTCAGATGGAGAACTTGAGCTAACAGGAGAGGGAGATAGAAGAAATGCTCTTCTTTCATTTACCTCTGCAGCTTTGAGTAAATAAAACCACACGAGAAACTCTAAGATGCAACCTCTTCATGACCATAAGCTGCTTTTTGAGCTAAAATCAGCACAAAATGTTGAAAGAAAAAACACATTTTAGAACTCATGACCAAAATGTTGGTGGGTACTTTTCTTCCAGCCGCTGCCGACGTTTAATCTGGATGCTCCTGGGGGGGGGGGGGGGGGGGGAGCAGAAAGAGAGAATAGAGAGGCAGAGAGAGAGAGATAGAAAGAGAGAGAGAGAGAGAAAGAGAGCGAGATTGAATAAGAGAGAGGGAGATGGGGGAGAGGGGGGGAGAGAGGGAGAGAGAAAGAGAGTGAGATAGAATGAGAGAGAGGGAGATGGGGGAGAGAGGGGGAGAGAGAGAGGGGGGGCTGGAAGGGGAGAGAGCGAGAGAGACAGAGAGGGAGATGGAAGGGGGAGAGAGAGAGTGCGCAAGATAGAAGGAGAGAGACAGAGAGGGGGAGAGAGACAAAGAGAGAGATAGAAAGAGAGACAGACAGCTAGGGAGATAGAAGGAGAGAGAGGGAGATGGGGGAGGGGGGGAGAGAGTGGGAGAGAGAGAACGAGACAGAATTAGAGAGAGGGAGATGGGGGAGATAGAAAGAGAGAGAGAAAGAGAGAGAAAGAGAGCGAGATAGAATTAGAGAGAGGGAGATGGGGGAGAGAGGGGGGAAGAGATTGAGAGAGAGAGAGAGAGAGAGAGAGAGAGAGAGAGAGAGAGAGAGAGAGAGAGAGAGAGAGAGAGAGAGAGAGAGAGAGAGAGAGAGAGAGAGAGAGAGAGAGAGAGAGAGAGAGAGAGAGAGAGAGAGAGAGAGAGAGAGAGAGAGAGAGAGAGAGAGAGAGAGAGAGAGAGAGAGAGAGAGAGAGGAGAGAGAGAGAGAGAGAGAGAGAGAGAGAGAGAGAGAGAGAGAGAGTGAGTCTCCCTTGGGTAGCAGACATATTAAAAACTGTGTCATTAGAGGAGGAATGAGCGGGAACAGAAAGGAGGCTAGCCACTCAAGTGTGAAAGTATGCAGAGACTCGGCGAGATGGGGGGAAGTTAATGATGCCGTGAATTTGACGTAACACGTCCGGAGTGAGCAATTAACGAAGACGAGAGGGGTTACCGTAGTCTCGCTCGTGAGGTGCCATGTTTTCTATCTCTAGCGTCCACTCTCCTTGAGGGTCCTCGTCCCACGAGTGGGTGGACATGAAGGCCCAGTCGTTGAACCCTTCTGAGGAATAATCGTTGGGTCTAAACAGGAGGAGAAACCACAGGGTTGTGTTTTGTGTTTTTCTCATACCTGTGAGAGCAAAGAGGTGTGTGTGTGTGTGTTTGTGTGTGTGTGTGTCAGACGCAGCAGAAGAGGCCCTTGCATTGGGGGCTCCGCCGCTGGCGTAGCGTGTTTTATTGTGTACCTTGGGAACAGCAGGGTAGAACGTGTGCCCAGTGGGCTGATGAGATGAATGGCCAATTTTCCTCTCTGGTTGTGGGAAAGAGTGAGGCGAGCCTGAACGTGCTCCAGAGATCTGACATACTCCGGTCGTCCCCAGCAGGCATCTACGCTCTTGCTGAACACCAGCTTGTTTCCGACGTCTCTGCAGGTTTGACAAGTGGAACGGGGAGGAGCGGTTAATGTTGTGTGGCTGTGGAAATGGACAAACAATCACACAGCACTGAGGACGTGAGTGACCTCAAGGAAAAGACGCCGCGGGGCTCGATGCAGCGACGGGCGCGCTCAGACTAAAACTGTAAACACAAACGGACTCGAGCTGTCCCTCTAACCTGGATTCTGCGAGCATGGTGTGAACGCACTGGTGCTGGGGACCCAACGCGGTCCAGTTCTGAGCCAGAACCACCATGGCACCTGCGTCCAGGAGACCGTAGCCGTACGAGTGACTCACTGAGAAACAAAGATGAAAGAAAGGGGAGATAAAAGCACGTAACTATCACACTCTTACACAATCCTCCTAGAACGCACCTTTAACGGACTAAACTCACACTTTCTACAGTCTCTAATAAAATGAACATTTAAAATATCTAAATGACGACCAAAGGTCTCCAGGGAACAGCAGATCAGCTCCTTTTTCGTCTGGCGTGCTGAAGGGTGCGTGCGTTTGACTGACAGCTGCCGGCGGGGGGAGGGTGACAGATAAAGTAAACAAACGTATCCCGCAGCTCGCAAGACGTGGACAGATGGAGTGTGTTGCACAGAAAGCCATTCAGGAGTGTGTAGGCGTTGATGTGGCTGAGACAGACACACGTGTCTTCGGTTTGGCGGCTCTTTCCATGAACCAGCAAACACGTACTTCTGTCTCGGGATTCCTCGGGGAGTGAAGTTTGTGTTGAAAGTAGGAGGTTGCTGCCACACAAAGCCACCAACAGACACATTAATCCTACCAAAGAGCTGATTAACGAAATTTTAAGTCCATTTTCATGTTTCTGTAACATCCTTAAAGCGTCTCGAATCGTGCAAATGCACAAGAGCAGGGCCTTTAAACGAAGGACGCTCCAGAGACTTTTTATTTATGTGTTTTCTAACATCTTTGTATCCTTGACTTATAGAGAAGAGACTAGCACTGCTGTTTGTTTCCTAAACGGATGAGATTACTGTTTTATTCAGCTAGAGTTCAGCCACCTTTTTATTCCTCGGAAAAGCGGCGCAGAAGCAAATTATTAAAAAAAAAAGTGTGAAACATGAAACCTTTAAATAAACAAATCTACTTTTTGGTTTTGGATCAGAAACAAATGATGTCATTAACAGTTATGGTGGTAAAAACATCAAACTTTGATTAATATTCGAGGACAGTAACACATTTGTCATTTCCCAACACCTTGGCTGTGAAGCTGCCAGAAGAAGGTGTCGGCTGGTGCCCATGAACACTTCTGTGTGAGGAGCAGCTGGGGATTGAACCGACAAACTTATGATTGCTGAAAACTTGGCTTTACCTCCTGAGACGCAGCTGCTGCTGATTTGTATGAAATTGCAGAAAAAGGGACTGCTATTTAATCTCAGATGGACCAAGACGATGCTAATGCTTTGGCTCTGCAGACAGTAATTACTGCTGGTTAGAGTAACGACGAATAACCGATAGCCTTTCAGGAACCAAAAATAGATTTTTCTTTGTGTAGTGATGTTGTTTATGGGACAGATGCATTCAGAGGCTTAAATACACTCATCAGGGGCATGAGTATTATTATAATAGTTATGGGCTCCTGAATGGGGGATTGATTTAAACTTCAATAATAAAAAAATCTGGCTGCACAAATCTGAATTTATTATGGATTTCCTTGTAAAAACTTTACATACAGGCTCAAACGTACACAAGCTGTGGTGACGGTGTTCTGACAGAGCACCATACATATCATTCTTGCAGTTTATGTGCATGCGTGCACATTCATCTAAAAGTCCACTATGTTCTGAGGAGCCGTTAGTTCAGCAAACAGACAGCAAGGTATGAGGAAAACGCTTGTCGATAGTGTTCATAATGATTAACCAACCGCAAAATGAACTGATGAATATGTATTACACATTTTTAATTTACCACCTTCTAATTCTAAAAAACAAAACAAAAAAAAAGCTTCATAATAAGTCAGGGTGTCATACGGTTGTTCTAAACAAAGTGTATGATTATCTGACAGGGTATCATACCTGCCTTCTCAGTGGCCTAGTGGTAGTGCGTCGGCCCTAAGACTAGGGGATCGGGGTTCAAATCCCGGTCGAGTCATACCAAAGACTTTAAAAATGGGACCCAGTGCCTCCCCGCTTGACACTCAGCATTAAGGGGTTGGATTGAGGGATTAATGCACCAAATAGTTCCCAAACTCAGCCACAGCTGCAGCTCACCGCTCCCCACGGGGATTGGTCAAATGCAGAAATGAATTTCACCAGTGTGATGATGACTAACGGGACTATAGCTTTTAACTTAAAACTAAGTGTGAGATGACGGGTAAACTGACCTATCAAAGTGTGATACAGCTTAAAAAATGTATGATGATTGGAAAGAACAACTATTTTTGAAAAGTTATTTTTTTTATTTTTGCATGTTTCACGCAGATAAATGGCTTAGAATGTGCTCTACCTTATCTGCCAGGTGAAGGGTGAACGCCTTGCCAGCGATCTCTATTGACTGTAGCTGGCAGATTTATTACACTAGCATAAAAGGGAGCTCTTTGACAGAACTCACTGGTTTGAACACTCACCTGTCACCCTGAGATTAAGTCAAATTGGTTAGGACATTCAGGAAAAAAAAGACCCAAGGCCTGTCATGAGCCGAAAATCGTCAGAACACCAGCGTAGCGTTAATCACTGGGGATGGAAAACCAAGGAAGAAGCACTCGCTCTATGAGTGACACCTTCAAAGTTGAATAAAATCGGCTCACATGGACAAATCAAACTGGTCATATGAGAAAAAGGTTGAACTGTTTAGCTATGTTATCAATTAGCCTGTTTGAAAGTGTCAAGCTGAACCTAAAACCAGTCAAGCACAGAGGTGATAGAATCATGATGTGGAGCTGATGCCTTCTAAGAATGGCTGTCTCTAAAATCTAATTTACATAAAATCCATCAGATTTATAACCCTAACCTAACATCGGAACCGGTTTCTGATTGGGTAAAGCAATCCTCCCAAAGCTGGTTTGGACATTCTCTACCTCGTCGTCCCACTCCGTTTGTCTTCCAGTCTCCGGCGATGAGGTGTCCAGGCAGGGATGTTCTCACCACCAGGTGCTGCATATCTCTCCAGGTTAGATTCATGCTGGACAAACAGAAGAAGCACAGCAACACAACAACTGATTTTCTGTCTTGTAACAGCCAAAGGCAATGATTTCTAAACTATGCACATTATGAGAGGAGTCAGGTGTTTGCTGACCTCAAAGGTACAATAATACAGTAGAAGAAATCTGAGGAGCTGTGGGACACGGAAAAGGTCAAGACACTGTAGACAACACCTGAAATGTAATCAATCTCAGCATATGCACCAAGGATGATGATAAGAGTTTAGAAATATTATACTGAGACATGAAGGAGACCTGGAGGGATGAGCCAAGCGATCAAAACAAAGTAGCTGACTCATTCTGAGGTTTTAATGTTGCTGTAAAAATCTAGCATTAGAAGAAACAGCAGGACCTTTTGTGCTGAGAGGTCAAGGAAAACAGTAAAACAGCAGATATAAAACCAAGGAGACTGGTGTCTTTTCTTTTCTGTAGAGCAAGTTTCTAATGAGGTCTGGGACCAAGGGCCGGGGTCACCTTCTACAAAGTGAGAAGCTTTATAAAAAATTTATATATTTTTTTAATTAGGATTTCTGAGACACAACAAAGAGCTTCTATTGGTATTAAAGCCACAGCCATCAAATTACTTCAGATGTACCAGGTGGGAGTTTCTTTGTTCGTTCGACATTTATTCTTTCACCATCCCTCCTCTTAATTGTGAGGCACCTCAGGGCTCTATGTTTGCCCTACTGTCTTGTTGAAGAGCAAGTCACCCACAAATCAACTTTGTTGCTGAATAAATTATTGTCTAATAGTGCTGTAGACATGTGTCATCATTATTTTGGCATTTTAGTACATCTTATTTAAAATACGTATACAGTACATTTTCAGCCTAAACTGTCAGTGTAGTGCCCTCTTCAGGCTAAAATTTTGTACTACATTTAAATTTCAATCGGCCATTGCTATTGGCTAAGAGGTACCTTGTGACATGGCTGCACTGCACTACAGCCACGTCTTGGTCTTGCTTCAGGCAAAAAGAAACTTCCTCCCTTTCCTATCATTATCTGGTAAATGAGGGGATCAGAAACGCTTTAGACTAGAAGCATTCTGCTGTTTCTCCGTCCGAGCAGGGTGTCTGTGTGTGTGTCGGGGACGTGTCACAGTAATTGGTGCATTTTTCGAACAAGGAGTGTGGGTTGACTAATACTTTGGTAGGAGTGACTTGCTTTTTTAACGTGCGTACATCAGGACCGTTATTTTGCTGATGATCTATTTATCTGTTTGTACAAGTTAAAGGCACACTTGGCAGTTTTGTTGCTTTTAGCACCCCCTAGTGTCAGCTATTAATTCTTTGTGGGTAAACCAATAATGAAACGTATCTCCTTTCTGTTCGTTTGACTTTTAAACACCTCAGTATAACAGCTGAAATGTCTCCCCAGCCTTCATTAGTGTCTACAGGTGTGATTCATTAGTAAATGAAACAAATCTGCCATGTTCATGACCTAAAACATGCAGGAAACATGCTGGAATCAGACTGCACCACCAGGTATGTACGCATTCACCTTGTAAAGGGACACTCTACCACATACTGGCTCAAGAAATTGATTTAAAGGAACTTTTCGGACTTTTGAATTTTTATGCTCGCGATTGCCCCCTCAGGCCAAAAGCGTAACGGCAGCTTCAATAGTAGGCTCGTGCACGAGGCGCGCATGCTGTACGTGCACACTCCTTAACGAAAATAACAGCTGAGCACAGAGCTCTGAGAGCGTCCTGTGTGTATGTGTGTGGCCCGGAGGACAGAAGAACACAGCATATTAATAAAATAATGTGCCTCTGTCTCTGCAGCTGCACTTTCTCATCGGCCGGCCGAACGTGCAGTGTGTGTGTGTGTGTGTGTGTGTGTGTGTCCCGGAGGACAGAGGACAGGAGAACACACAGCTAATTAATTAAATAATTCGGTTCTGTACCTTTTTCTTCAGCACAGCCAACAAAGGTTTATGATGGGTCAGTCCTCCTGCATGCTCAGACCATTCCCTTCCCTTGCTTGAAAAATTGCTCCACAATGAAAGTTGAACCCACATCTTTTTTATCCGTGAATTCAATGCCTTTCGGCGTGTCTCAAATAAAAATTTGGGCATCTTACTGTAAAAAAAAAACATACAATTAATGTAAAAGAGAAACTCCAAATAAACTATGTCCACACTGCCTCTCTCTCTGCTGCTAAAGCTATGGATAGCAAATGCTACGGGCTATGCCTGAGCGTGAACGCGCATGAAGCAGCCTGCTCGACCCGAGCAGCTCTCTTTTTCTGTGATTTTACAGAATAACAGGCAATCACAGTAAAAATGCCAGGGCTCATTTTACAGAACCAGGGCATTGCAGGAGAATGTATGAAGAAGAAATTCATTATTTCTGTACATGTTTTGGCTGTCAAACTTCCTTATAGTCCCTTTAAAATATTAAAATGTTGCACAGTATCCCATCAGCTGCTTAATTGTGAGAGATTAGATGGCATTTCAACAAATTTGCTGTGGTCTCTAGAATGACTGAAGGCCCCATTTCAGGAACTGAAAGTTCGTTGGAGGAGTAGGGGGGTGGAAAATGGCAGGAGTTGGAGTATGACCTTCTTCACCACTCTCCTTATTCTGCTCTCCCTACTTCACCTTCCTCAGGATCCACTGATTTCCCTCTTTCCTATTAACTCTCAATCTCTTGCTTTACATTTTTTAACCACAAAAGTCAATTTTTGCTTATTTGAAACATTTTTTTAATAATTTTCTGAAATCGTTTTTATATTTTGAATTTTTTGTTTTTTTGCAAAAAATGCAGCACTGATGGTTTACCTCTACAAATAACACAACCTGCTGTCCCGCCATGTTGTGGAGTTGCTAATGCTAATGGTAGCTAATGCACTAGTCCAGATGTGCTCTGCTCTCTCCTGGGTGCTAAATCAGAAAGCTAATTTTACAGTGTGACATAGATCTGTGTGGCTTTTTCTGACCTGAGCGTTTCACTGTCTAATGCAGGAAAGTCTATTTTCATGGTCAGTGTTCAGTATACGTTTGTCAGGGAACCTTTGCTTTAAAAAAATCTGAATGCTTATTTTGGTGTTATTATTTTGGTGTTATTAGTCTCTTGTATTGACTTGTGTCTGTTAGAAACGTCTGTGAGCCACCAATAAAAGGAAAACTCTTCAGTGGGTAAAACCCGGAAGAGTCGACAGAAACAGAAAAGCAGAATTTCACTGTGGCACATCACCTCCGCCCCCCCACCTGCATCTGCATCATCCTTTCCCATCCTCTCATGTGTTATTAATGGACAAGATCCCACCGATCCACTCCATGTCACCACAGCCAAGAGCAAGGAGGAGGCGAGGCACAATACAACAATCAAACCGCAGAAAAGCCAAAAACCTTCTGCCTATTAAACAAATCTATCTCTTTGAGTTGCGGTGTAATCTCCGTCTGATAGACTAGCTGCTCTGCTATTACTGCTGCCTGTCAGGATGGGTGCCTGCTGGGATGCTGCTCGCTGAAGAAACAGCGGCTGATAATACCCGATAGCTGAGAAAACCCGAGCTCTGCCAGGTGCTGCCCATCTCTTATGATATCAGAGCTGACAGAGCCGAGATAAGCCGTCGAGGCTGGGGACACATACCTGTGATGTAAAGCACTGCAGGATCGGATTCGACACCTGTCATCACTAATGCAGACTTGAGCTGAATTATGCAAAGTGAAGCACTGCTGACTGATAAGACGGAGTTAGCACACGCGAGATACGACTGAAGGAACCTAAATGATGGAGAGCACATTAGAACTTGTACACCTGGAGTCCAGCGTGAGCGATAATGAGAGATTCTTAAGTATCAGATCTTCACCAGCAGCCCTACAGGTATTCAAACGCCTGTGTGGGCTGCAGCTGCCGATTTATCTTCTTAATTGAGTGATTATTAAAAGCTTAATTTGCTGTAGCAAGAATTTCTGCTGGGACTTATTCCAACATTGTTTTCCCAGAGGTGTTTGTGTAGACATGAGTGTGTGCACCTCCCACGAGTGCACAGCCAAGCATGAAAAGATTACAATATTGATAGTAAAAAAGATGAAAAAAAGAGAATACTTTTCAGAGCAGAGAACGTTATAAGAATATTAAAGAACGGTTTTGTGTTAATGGAATAAAAAGGAAGAACTTGTTAAAGAATTAAATTTAATTAGAAAAATGTCATTTAGGATGTAAAAGCCCTCCTGTGACAGGCAGTCAGTGTGCAATAAAAAATGTCAGATTGCTACAAGAGGTGTGTGTGTGTGTGTGTGTGTCATTCCCACTCACTTTGCCTCCAGAGCCAGAGCGATGATCCCAGCAGCCAGTGGGGCAGAGGCGGATGTCCCCGTGTGAGAATCAGTGCACTTCTGCCTCAGGTCTGTGGTCACCTGAGAGGGAAAAACAAAAAGAAGCCAAGCACATAAACACAGAAGAGAAGACGGTTAATATGACACATCGAGTTTTCGCATCTCCAGATGATTTCACGGAGGGAGGGAGCTGAGTGTTAAACCCGGAGAGAGCCGGAGACAAATGTGAGCTTACCCTGCAGCGATCTGAGACAGAGGAAGAGTGAAGGAGGAGGATGAGGAGGAGGGAATGAGCGGGAAGGTTCAGCGTCAGGTCTGTGAATGTCTGCCAAAAGGTCACAAGCAGGATGGTGAAAGTCAGCCAAAACAGGCCAACTGGGTCAGACGATGGTGAGACGCCGGATGTTAGAGCTCCATGTATACCTCTGCTCTTAATGCCTGTCAGCGCCGCAACGCTAATGAGGCACGTCTAGGTCACGATGAGGACGCATCAGAAAATGACAAAGAGGCCCAAAGCAAAGCTGGCTGTGAAGGTTAGGGATGCAGCCTCTGTTCGCAACTTAAGGCCTGACAGATTGTAGTGCTAATGAGCGTTATCAGCTAAAGATGTCTGCGTGTCAGAGGAGTAAACAAGGGGAGGGCAGGTGTCTGCTCAGACCAACTGTCGGCCCCAGAGCTGAACCAAACGCTCTGCTTCATCTGTGCTTAATGCTGGGAATTCCCGATCAGAGGCGTTGCTCTTCTGTGAAAGTTTACTTTTAATGTAACAAAAAAAGACAAATTATTATGTTACATTTAATGCAAAAGTTAAATAACATTTCCTACAAGCTCCAATGGGTTTAATGGTTTTACATTTAAAAGCGTAACATCTAATGTGCTTTGGCCAGTACCTCTCTGGGTGGAAACATTTAACATTCAAGAGGGAATCTGCAGAATGCAACGGGACTTTTGAACACGCTAGAAAAATTATCGTCGTGTTTTTCTTGCAATTTTGCTTTCAATTAATCAGCGGCAGTGGCGGCCCAGTGAGACATGCAGTCACAAACAGAAATATTAATTAAAAACAACATATTTAACTTATCATTTGATATCCTTTTTTTAAATTATTCTAAACGTTTTAACAATATTTTGAATTATTGCCTTGGGGGACAATTAGTGACCTTTGCATGTTTTTAGCAGCTCTGTGTTCCCGTGTTTATTTCAATATGTAAAACGGCAGAAAGGGGATTTATAGTTTTTTATTTTTAGTTTTTCCTTCTAGCTGCTCTCGTTTCCCCAAGAGACAAAAGGTCAACAGATCTCTACGCTAAGTAACCTATTTCTGAGTTCATGTCAGATTCCTTCCTAACCTCGGTCTTCAGCAGCAGCAATGATAAAAATACCTCACGGTGTCCAATAGATATTAGTTTTGGACAAAAGAGGCATGACATGTAAGAAGTAACAACACTCTTCTGTTGCAGCAACGATAGAAAGTAAGCGCTGCTTTCGTTGAATTTTCTGAAACAACTTTAATTTCATCTGTTTTGATGAATTGAATTTGTTTGCCTACAGGATCCCTCTGGTGCACTTCCTTCTGAATGGCAGACTCCTGGTTGTTTCATGTTATTTTGTGCCCCAAAGGCGAGTCTTTCATCAGCTGACAAGCAGCCTAAAAGAGGCGCGAGTTATTTTCTGTTTGTCCGCTTCTCTTGTACGCTGCACATCAGACACTCTGACTTCCGACAGCTCGATGCTTGTTTCTGACATAACAGAAAAGATTAATGCACAGCTACCGTAGAAAGAAAAAGCTTCGCTTTAGGATGCGCCGCTGCTAAAGTTTGTAGGCGTGACTTTTTGTGAGATTGTGCTGCACTCACTATCTGCTTCTCCCCTGGATTCCCAGAGCTGAAGGTGGTGGCGAGGGTGGAGGAGCAGGGCTCGCTGTACCACGGCACGTTGCCCGACTCCGTGGTGCTGCTGATGGACAGGGTGTAAATGCTGTTGGTGTAGCCGTCACAGTTGCAGCTGTCCTGTTCTCGGCCACCGTTGCCTGAAGCCCAGACAAAGATTGAGCCCAGTCCGCTGCGTCCCTGGGGGTACGAAAACATAAATACCTTCATGTCGTCAAAATCCAGGAGAAGGGAAAGCCTAACGGGAGGACTGCTGACGTTGGTTTCACTGCCTAAATGGCATGTCTTTTATGTGCTTGCTTTCAGAAACACCGAACCACCGTTGGCACACATCTTGTTAATATACTCCTGTGTCAAGGAGAACATAAGGTAACAATGGAATTACCATATGTGTCCAAGCAGAATTTGAGGGGGAATAGATGACAGGATGTTGTGTATTGAGGCAGAAATCCAGAGATTTCCCCTTTTCAGGTATGGATGATTTCTTTAGAAATTTGCAAGCTTGATAGTCTGACCCTGTGTTGTGATGAATTATAGACAATGCATCGATATCTTTTTTGCCAAGCTCGCCCCATCCCGTAGAGCCACATGCAGTTTTACAAGACCACCGCTCAGCATTAGCCATTAGGGCTCGACATCTGCCTACGTACAGATGTTAATCACAGAGCGTGCACGCACGCGTTTGTAGGTGTTTCTAGACCAAGCGGCATTTTCAATTTGTTTACAAAGCTGCAAAGACAGCAAATTATGGAGCAGCTACAACCGCCTAGCCTAGATTGTAGACCGTCATTTGCCAAAGTAAAATTGACGGTTTAGCAATGCTCCATTGGAACCTCGTAGCTCCAGCCAGTATTGTGGCTGGCCAATCACAGCATGTTTATTTAGAAAAACTATATATTATTTTATGTTTTATGTAGTTCTCCCACGATGTAACGGTGGACTGCCCGGCTGACTGACATCCGTAGCGGTCCAATCACAGCCCTCCATTGGTTTGCTGGACCGATCCCAGCACTCCTTTAGCCCCATGGGTGGGATGTTAGAGTGACAGAGCAAAACCAAGAAGGCCACGGCTCCATAGAGGTCCAGTTAAAGTGCTCTATGAGTTTGGTGGGCCTCGCCACTAGGCGGTGCCTTCTGAGAATGAAAACCTCCAGATTTTTGCTTTAAACACAGTAATGAGGGATGGGTTTAACCCATTTAGCTAAAGATGTGGACGAAGGAGGAGGAGGGGGGGGGGGGTATTATGAGTCGGATGGACATCCATTTTGGCAAAAAAATAAATCTTTGCATACTCAGAAACATGATTAGCCTACTGTGTTTGTCTCAAGCCATGGAAACACGTTTCGTGCACCTCCTGTAGCTGATTGAATTACTCAAAGTCTTTATTTGCAAGAGAGCCCCGGACATTGATTTTTACTCAGAACAAAACACAGATGCCAACCATATTATACGCAGAGATGTTATTTAGTTTTTGTTCCGTCTGCGTCCTTTTTGGTTGCACGTTTTCTTTCCTGCACACGCTGACCTTCTGCATCCCAAATATTGTTGAAAGCAGCCTGAGGTCTGCTGACCAGCTCTTGCCCCTGAGGCTGGAGAAGAGAACACAAGACATCGGGTCATCTGCAGCTCGAGCTCCACGGCTCTGAAACAGCCTTGGGGAGGAAGAATGCCCTCCATGTCTTTTTGTTCAGGTCCTACAGGCTTATTCCTCTAATCAGCCTTGATCAGACTGACTTCAGCTGTCAGATTCTTCCCCTAAAGAAACAGGTTTTTTCGTTGTCATCTCTCTATTTTGAATCAGTATTAATTTGCGCAGCGGAGCTTCATTTTCTGTCGACTACTTATTACACCCTGCTGTTCCCAAAAATCAATGGAGCAATTAAAGCTAAATCTTTTATCAATGTGTGAACAGAGCAGCTCGGGCAGAGAATTTGTCACAGAAAAGAAGAACCAATACAGAATCCGCCACCTGCAGCTTAAACCCAAAAAACGACGATTAAGTATTGATTCATACAGCTTCACCAAGAAATTAAAAAGATAAAACATAGAAATAAATAAATAAATACATTTCTGAGTGTCTTTTTTTTGTCTAGTTGCAGCGATGTTTACGTCTGTTTTCTTTTGCTGGAGTTAATGAGTGAAATGTTAAGTGCACAAGTCCAGAAAGAGGCCTTAATTGGGACATTTATACAGGTTTTAAATGAGCTGGTACACAACGTTTCATACGGATTATCCATTCAATTTTCCTAATTGATTCCTCCTACATCCCTGCCTCACAAAATGATCTTTTAGAAGATGGGATAAATGCGGTATTGCCGAAAGTGTGACGTCGTCTGAATCAGACTGAGTGCTCACACCAAAAAAGCTGTCCATAACACTCCTAAAGCAACCCGCTGCCTTTGCTGGGGTTTACAGAAACCAGAGGAGAACACTTGAGTGCCAAGCGTGATCTGTCTGCCAGGAGAACACACGCTGAACCAGAAAGGTCCTGTTGTTTTGCTGTCAGGTGATTCCTCTTCACTAACACACCATGATATGTGGAGCATTTCACATTTGGGGATGTGATATATGAGTCACTCCAGCACAGAAAATTTGCAGTTTCATTCATTTACAAGCCAATTACCGCTCGCCTTTGAGCCTTACTTTTGCATCAGACTGCAGCTCAGTTTCTACTTTCCTCATTTTTATCATTTAGCTGCTCTGCTGACGTCCTTTGATGCCATGTGCCGACAAATGAACGATGACGGCATTAAAAACTTATGGGAATACGCCACATCTCTTTCATGTCTAAGTTTGCTCCAGCTCAGAGGAAGAGTCAATTGCCAATTAACAAGCTCACCTTGGGTTTGTCCTTTTTCCTGCAGGATGCTTCAGAGAAATATTCTTCATTAAATATATATATATATATATATATAGTATGATTTATGTGGGGGAGAATGTGCAAGCCTCTTCTTACATTAATTTATGTAACAAGAATACTCGAATATTCCTGAACAGCAAACTTTCTAACAACCCTTTTTTCGCTGACAGGAGCGAAAACTTCTGTGAACTTAGCGTCAAAGAAATAGTTATAGACACTCATGTGCTCCGAGAAGCTACTGGTCTTAATGTTGTGATGTCTGAGCTTGGTGACTTTTTGTTTCTCCTATCCTAAATCACTCAAACAATGGATGTTTCAACTAACTAGTTAAAAAAACAATATGTAAGAATTCTTCAGTGAAATAATCACAAAACAGTCTCATGCCTCAATCAAGTTGGAAGGACGGTTTCATTGAAACAGATTTCATTCTCAGCTGGCTGGGGAGGTTGTCAGTTTTTCTTCTTTCAAAAAGAAGAAAAAAAAAAGATGGACTTACTGTTTACAATCAGGGTGTTTGTGAGATTGCCAAGTCTGCGCTGAGCTAACGCTGCAGCACCGGCATTTGTAATTCAACACTGGCAGGCCAAAAGCTCCAGAGTTCTTTAACCCTTTGATGCATAATGGTCACTACTGGACAGGTACTCAAAATTGTTATTTATTTATTTGTTTGCTATTAACCCTCCCACTGTCTTTATGGGTGACCCCGTGAGGAAAGTTGACCATTGAGCAGGATTAATTGTTTATCCCTTGAGGTCCACATGGCAGGGGTGAGGTGGTGCTCTCCCCTGCCACATGGACCCAAGGGATAAACCATCAATCCTGCTCAATGGTCAACTTTCCTCACGGGGTCATACCCATTAGGACAGTGGGAGGGTTAAGCACAGCTGTTGAAGAGTTTATTGCATTTGAGCCCCTCCATTTGGACGTCAGTAAGTCAAGCCAACATATTTCATGTTCAGAATGCACGCTGTCCACTGAGGTGGACATGTAATAAATTATTTGTAAATTATTAAATGTTACAAAAATATTTGTTGAAATTAGTTTCATTCACACCTAAGATGAACGAAAAAAAAATGTTAAAAACAAAATCATGGTTTATGATTTCATAATTCATGCATCAAAGGGTTAAAGAACCAAAGCCAACTGGAGTGGCCCAGAAGTTATTTCTTGTACCCCTAAGAAGCCACGACATCTTCTTTTTTACTCTAATATCGGGTGAAGCAGGCTAGACGCTAACGTTAAATTAACAATGCTAACATGAATTTGAGGCAAATAATAAGCTCTAAAATATCTCAAGCTACTTTTCAATTACCAATAACTCTATATTACAGTGATATGTATGTGTGAAGCGAGTGATGAGTCAATTGTGGCGTTATACTTATGTTAATGAGTCATTCAGAACTATAACAGCAAGCTAACAGCAAGACGGTAAACCATAGACACGAATACGTAGACGTGCTATTGAGCGCTGGGAGGTGCAACAGCATTGCAGCCATATTGGGTGGGTTAGCAGGGTGGGCAACTATGGCGCAACAACTTTTTGAAAGACAGGCCACAACAAGTATTTTAAGAGGATTTAAATCCACAAAAAAGTGTCATTAGCATTGGACTGCCACAAGGATGTGTTTTGTCTCCAGTGCTTTTCTCAGTCTACACAAACAACATCCGGTGCCATAGTGAGAGAATGGCACTGTATAAGTATGCAGATGACATGGCACTGGTGGCACCAGTAAAGACATCGGAGGGCCTGTCTAAATATCAGCAGGCAGTCAGCAATCTGGTCCAGACATTTGGAGACTTTCACCTGGGGCTGAATATCTCAAAAACTAAAGAAATGTGCTGTGGGGCAGTCAGTGAGGCAGACACATCCCTGTTCAAACCCCTCAGCATACAGGGTCAGCCTGTGGAGCAGGTTCAGTCATTCAGGTATCTGGGAACAGAAATTGATGACCACCTGTCCTTTGCAAATCACAGCAACGGTGTCTACAAGAAAGCGCTACAAAGACTCCACCTGCTAAGCAAGCTAAGAGCACTCAATGTGAACAAGGACATCCTAACAATTGTATATTAATCACTGATTGAATCCATTCTAACTTTCAATGTTACAGCTTGGTATAACTTTCTTACAGTTAAAAACAAAACACAACTCTCTCGCATTGTTAAATTAGGCAGCAAAATTACAGGCTCACCTCAGATCCCACTTTCTGTTCTTCACGAGCGAGCAGCGCACAGGAAGGCTACCCTGATCAGTGCAGACCCAACCCATCCATTGAACCCACATTTTCAGCTACTTCCATCAGGAAGGAAGTACAGAGTTCCATTGGCCAAGAAAGGTGTCTATAAGAAATCATTTGTTCCCGCCGCAATTACAATTTTGAATTCTTAAAGTTTTATTTTTTTTTACGATAACATTTTAATACCTTTTAATTGTCTTTTATATATTTGTGTGAATGCGATATGGATTGTATTGTAAGATGAGCCATGTCAAATCAACCAATCAATCAACCAATCAACCAATCAACCAATCAACCAATCAATCAATCAATCAATCTATCAATCTATCAATCTATCAATCTATCTATCTATCTATCTATCTATCTATCTATCTATCTATCTATCTATCTATCTATCTATCTATCTATCTATCTATCTATCTATCTATCTATCTATCTATCTATCTATCTATCTATCTATCTATCTATCTATCTATCTATCTATCTATCTATCTATCTCTAGATCAGGGTACATCTGGACCGGGCGTACGTACGTACGTGTGCGTGTGTACACACACACACCAGTACCTGTGTCCATGCTGATGGATGATCCTGAAGTGGTAGCAGTTGGTTAGTTAGTTAGGTAGGTAGGTAGGTAGGTAGGTGGGTGGGTGGGTAGGTAGGTAGGTAGGTAGGTAAACAATCTTTCATATAGCGCCTCTCAAAATAAAAAAATGAAAAATTATTGAGATATGGTTAAAATGAACAAAAAAACTGACTTGACTATTGACGTATCTAGCCTACCTGTTGGGATTTTATATTTTAATTTATTGTTACTTATTTAATTCATTTATATTTATATTTTAATTATCATACCATATGTCTGATTCTGTGAAACAGCATTATAAAATGTATTTTCTTAGTTGGGTAAACACCTTCCTCAGTAGAAATAAATGCACTGGGGGTGAATGGGAACCCATCAAAGATGGCGGCCCACTGACACCAGCTCCAATAGACAGCGTTAGTCCATGTCACGCCTATGCATAAAATGTCTGTACTTCAAACTTCTTCTACAGCCAGAGGCATAATACCAAAATAAGTGTAAGTGCTTACTACTGTAAAAACACCCAAGAGTGCTAATGCCAGACATGACGACGTATTTATCTACTTGTCAGCATACTGTGTATGACTCGTCTTTACTCGTCATCTACAGTCTTCTGGCGCTGATCTTTAACTGGCAACATCCATGACACTCATTAAACAGTAGTGAGAAAGTGATGTATTTCTCACAGAAATAGAGTGCAGTAACCAAATTTGACCACAGGATGTCATCCTTCATTCTTACATATTGCACCTTCAAGTTCTATAATAGTTAAAACCATTAACCAGTTACCTCAGAAAAAAAGTGCACAAGCAACTTCGTTTAAATGGGCAGAAATTTCAACGTTATTCCAAATAACTTTATTCTAAGCAATGCTAGATGATTAAATTACTCTTTTTAATATCTTTTTTTAGCAATGAAGCTCCAAAACATCTGCCAAGGTAATTCATGACTTTTAATAGCTAATGTCTGATTAATATTAATTATAGAACAAAAATGAGTTTCTAAGAAAGCTGGAAGGCCACGTTTGACATGATATGAATATTAAAAACAGAATGCAGTGATGATGATGCCATTCATTTAGAAAGCATCTGTAAAATAACTCATGTTGCAACATAATAAAACATTCATAGAGGTTCTACTGCTTTAATTTCTTAACAAATTTATTTAAAAACAGTATTTTATGGCTTGGAAAAAGCTCAGCGGGCAGAATCCTGTGCTGATTTATCCACAGTCACTGCAGCAGCAGCAGAGTGCCGAACATGTTTACTTCTGTGTTACATCAGCTTGTCTTTTAATGACACTCTGTGAGCTTTTGGGAGCCGCTGTATGTCACAGCCCGCCACTGCTGCCCTACCTGTCTCGGTACGGTGAGTAATTGTTTTCTTTCACTATGTAAATGAGGCTGTTTAAAACCCCGTTTGGGACTGATTCTTGAACGTGCCTTCTCTCCTGGGCTGCTCCCTCCTGTTGTACTGGATCAGTGTACGGGGGCAGATCCAAACACCATCATCTCAGTATCTTTCAGAACAAAATAAACGTCATTCAGCTGTGATTGAACCCCGCCAGTTCACCCCTGACACTTAGCAGAGCATTTAGCTTGCGCTCATAAATGGCCTCTCTCTTGTCCCGTGTTGTATAAAAGCTCACCGCTACAGCTATTTGTCATGTAAGTCCTAATTGCCTCTTACTCCTGCTTTGTTTGAGAAAACAAAAGAAACGTCAGACAATATTACTCCTGGAGGGAATTATTACGCTGCCTACACATGTTGGTTTGTAGCTCTGTTTAGAGTTGTTAGGATTATGAGAGCTACCTACTCTAGTTGGTTTGGACAGTAACATCAGAGAGGGTTTTGATTATTCTTTTTTTAGTGATGTTAGGTTAGACTTTCATTCTCAAATGTTTTTGATTTATTGTCTTTTCTCGTAACTTTTGCTTGTGAGAAAAAACCCTTTTGATCCCTGGTTGTCTATCTGCTTGGCTTTATGTGCAATAGAAATGAATGAATAATTACTGGTTTTAGAGAGACAAGTGTGCATCATTTAACATTTTACAACGTAAATGTACCCAATTAAAGCCAAAATGCTCATTTCCATTGGCAGCCCCCATGCCAGAAGGCACATGGAAGGAGATGCTTTTCTTGCCGTTAAAGCTATAGCTACTTTTTGAAAATACACAATCCAATCCAATTTATTTATAATGCATATTTATGAACAGCTGACTAAAGTGCTGTAAGGGTAAAACATGAAAAACATAAGGCAATAAAACATTTCAGGAAACAAAAGACAAGAAAATAGGCATCAACAACCAAGAGCTAAGCAGAAAAGACGTGTTTTCAGACCAGTCTTAAACCTGACGAGAGTAGGGCTAGAATAGAACACAACAGACTTTATTGATTCACTCGTTAGGGCAGCACATATACTTAGAGAATGAGAAAAATATAATACAGGTAAATCCATAAAAGCAGTAGGCCATTATTGTAACCTTCAGTAAAGGAATAAAAATAGAAGACTGAGTTTCCAGCATAAAGAACACTGACATACAAATGTGCATCTGGGTAAGTAAAACTTTAAAAGTGTAGATTACAGTTTCTGATTACGGAAATTCCTAAATTACAGAATAGAAATTCTTTGGTTTTACATTTAAGAGATTACAGAAACTGCTAAAATGTGTTTAGAAGTGTCCAACGCATTATTTGCATTATATAGCAGCTGACCCTTCGCACCCGGGTCACAGACTTTTTGAGCTGCTTCCCTCAGGCAGGAGGTTACGGTCCATCCGGACCAGAACTTCCCGCCATAAGAACAGCTTCTTTCGATCTGCCGTTAGACTTGCGAATAGATTGTAAACACACAACCATGCTCGTCTTCTGTACTCGACACAACGTCACGTTATCGGCCATGTTACCATTACCTGCCATTTTTTATCGCTGAAAGTTTTATTCTAGTTTTTTTTAATTATATTTTATTCTATTTTTAATCTTATTATTCATGTTATATGTAGCACATTAGTACCGAAGCAAGCTCCTAGTTTGTGAATTGTTTGTTCACTGACAATGGCAATAAACCTATTCTGATTCTGATTCTGATTTAAAACTGGAAGGACAGTGGGGATCAATTGTCTTCGAGGAAGAAATTTGACCGGAAAAAAAATCCAAATGATCATTACTGGCAATCACTTAAAAATTTGGTGAAATAAAATCAAAGAAAAACAACAGCAGATCTTCCACGTGCACAATGCAGAGGGAACTCAAGGGATTTTGACTGAACAGCTGTGTAGCCGTAAGAAAATTACTTATCAGTGAAGCAAACCGGAAAAAAGGCCTCACTTTGCTAGGGAGCATAATGATTGAACTCTCGAGCGGTGGAAGAAGGTCATGTTGTCTGATGAGTCCAGATGTACCCTGCTCCAGAGTGATGGGTGCATCAGGGTTAGAAGAGAGGCAGATGAAGTGATGCACCCATCATGCCTAGTGTCTACTGTACAAGCCTGTGGGGGCAGTGCCATGATATGGGCTTGCTGCAGTTGGTCAGGTCTAAGTACAGCAACAGGATGTTCTCCAAGATTGAGGTCAACTGACTACCTGAATATTCTGAACGACCAGGTTATTCCATCTTCCCTGATGGCGCGGCCATATTCCAAGGTGACGATGCCAGGATTCATCAGGCTCAAATAATGAAAGAGTGGTTCAGGGAGCACGAGACATCATTTTCACACATGTATTGGCCACCACAGAGTCCAGACCTTAACTCCATTGAGAATCTTGTGCAGCGGTCAGACTCTACCATGATCAATGCAAGACCTTGGTGAAACATTAATGCAACACTGGATGGAAATCATCTTGTAAACATTGCAGTAGTTTATTGAAAGAATGCCACAGTGAATGCATGCCTTAATCTATCTCTAACCAAGCTGTAACACCATCATTCTGAAGCAGCTGCCCTCATATCCTCAGGTAAAACACGGACTTTCAGCAGCTCAGTTATATAAAGTATTATTCATCATATTTCTCTTGCATTATAGACTGAACAGTGTCAGCGGGAAACAGGACTGGATAGAAGGTGAGACAGTTTAGCACTCAGATATTTTACAGCAGACTGAGGCAGAAAATAAATACTTTATTGGATCTTGTTTTAGATTTGCTTTTATGATAAAAGTTGTACCTTCCATTTGTGAATACAGTAACACCCTGTGGATTTTCAGAGCTGTTCATGAAATCGTGCATTGATTTCAGCCACAGAACTGTTTCTATTTAGAATCAGAAATGCACCAATTCTAGTTTTGAGGGCCGATACGATTACTATTGATACCACTTTTGGCCATTTTCACTTAGAATGAGAAAACACAACACCAGAAAATCACATACAAGTTCTAACTAACCTTAGTTATTCCCTGCAGAAAGGCCTCTTTGGCCATTTTGGCAGGGCCGTCCAGCGACTTGCCGTCATCCTCCGGGCCCCAGCTGGCACTGTAAATGTGGATGTGTTGAGGGTTCAGGCTGAGAGAACGCGCCTCTACCACGTCTGTCACCTCCCCATCCAGCATACGCACCCCTGCGAAATTTACAGAAGACACGATGCAGACTGGGTCACCACAAACCAAAGCAGCTGTGAATAAAGTGTGAGAATGACAAGTGACGGCATGCCATCTTGGATGTAAAAACCAGGGGGACACATCAGAGAAGAAAACGAACAGCATGAGGTGAAACAAGAGCAAACAAAACAAGCTGAAAGAAATGGGTCGTAACTACTTTTCAACGAAAGATGGAAAAACCCCAACAGAAAACAAGAGGCTTCATTGGAAAAGCAAACAGTTTCGAATGTTCAGGTTTTAATGAGCGACTTTAAGGCTTTATCTGCAGATGCTACCTTCACATAAACAATAATCCAGCTGTTTGCTCAGCTAAAAAAGGTGGTTCCTTGCCCCTAACGACAATATAATGATAAAAAAAGGGATAAACAGACAAATCTGACCAAACTCCTAGCACTCAAAAACAGCAGGAGTTTACAGACCCCCCTCGTTGGACCAGCATGGCCACAGGGCTGCACTAAATGTCACTTTTGATGATACCTGAATACAACACTGCCAGAGCCTTTGAAGTTCGTAGCCTCTGATCACTCCTCTGAACATTAATGGCTGCAGAAAGTCATGAAATGCACCTCCCTCACATAAGGTCCATTACTGGCAGAGGACCCGCGGACATAAAAAGCAAAATTATGAGCGACGACGTTCGCATTAGGACATTTTAGACAAAGTAAGCCGGTAGGGATGCAGGCACGGCAGTAATTACTCTGCAGGAGAGTCTGAGTACACGAGCTGGAGAAGTGAGTGGCCTGAAACAAACTTAAGCGAGCAAAATAAAGTGTGTTGTTTGCTCACTGATCTTTATGCAAAAGCTTTACTGTAGCAGTGATGAAGATTGGTGTCGTAACATTTCCCATCGACTTCCCGCCGCTTGATGGCTTCTTATTAAGACGCCTCAGCGCGGGTTCCTGCAGCTACACTGACTCACAGGTCATAGGTAGAGAGGCAGCTGTGAGTGTGAGAGAGGGGGAGTGTGTGCAAAGTAGAAGAGGAGGGGAAGAAAAAGAAACAACGCTCAGCAAGCCAAGAAGGGTCAAGTCTTGTGCACACATCACTAATCATCATCACCCTGTAAGGACTCGCGGATTTGAGCGTGTGAGCAAATATTGCTGCTTCTCTCGCGTGTAAACACACACACACACGCACAGATGCACGCGCGGCTTAAGCGTTTGGGAGGAAATCACAGCTGTTTATAAAACAATCCGCTGACCCCACAACGCCAACAGATTCGCCGAGGAGTAATTTATGAGATCAGGGCCAACGCGCGGCTCTTTCGGGAGATAAATGGTAATGAAGACAAAGAAGGGGAGTTATGAGTAACATCTGTGAACGGGACTGCTCACGGCTCCGCTGTGCCTTGTTGGCAGCCATCACGGCATTGACAGATTGCTTGATGACAAAAGTTACTAAACGCCTCCTTGGAATACTCTATCAGGTGTGAAAAATTTCACAGGGAAATAAAAAAGCAACCCCTCAACTGTTGTTATCTAATTTCTGATTGATAAACATCACCCCTCTTATTGCAAAGCAGCAGTCGATGACAGGCTAATTACTCCACCAACAAGAGCCGGCTCTGAGAGTTAGAAGAACCTCTTAGGAAAGTGATTTACAACACGACCAACACTGCATTGGGAAGCCACTTCCCCTGGCATCATCCAAAATTTAGCATCCTGATGAAACTCAGCTAAACACTTAAAAAATTGGATTTGCTTTTTATCTAATTAGCCAAAAAAAGGCCCAAGTTTAAGGCGAGGAGCCAAAGAAAGCTTAGTCACGCTGAAAATGATTGAATCAGAGATGGGTTTGTTAATATGTACATCAAAACAACATGCGAACAAACAGAATCTGGCAACGTTCAAGTATTTTTAAAGCTCTTTTTGGAATGGGAAAACATCCGTAGACGCAAACTGCTGCAGCGTAGTGACTAAAGCGTGACTTTTATTCGCCATCTTGGTGAAGCCACGATTTACTAAGTCTCCAGAGAATAGCAGCAGCTCATCATTAGCTGGCCCTCTTTGTGGCATTGGTTCAAGGAATATTCATTCCATCCTGCTGCTGCTGAGCTCTGCAGCACAGTCACGCTCTAACAACTGAAAAATGCACTCACACAGTCAGTAAACGGCAGTCTACGGCGCATAAAACCACATTAAATATACTGGCTTTAAAAGCTACCGCTGTGTCATTAATAAAACCTGAAGATAAAGAGGCTGTAAAACTGTTGTTGTGATTTAAGTACCGGAATTAAAGCAGCTCAAGCAGAATGAAAATGATCCTCTGTTGATTAATATGAAGTTTATTGTCCATATTACTTCTAATTTATCCAAGTTAAACTCAATTAAATAAATTATATGCTAAAAATCCATCTCGGTCAATTAAAATTATAAATGAAAGGCTCACGCTCACCTCCGATTTTAGCGTTATAGGCCACGCCGACGCCACACACGCCGTTGTTGGCGGCGGCGGCGACCTCTCCTGCACACCGCGTGCCGTGTCTGCAAAGAGAAATAAAAATTACAGAAAGAGAAAAGATCACTGAAATTCTTGAAGCAAATTCTACATTAATAAAAGCAAATACTAAATACATTCATTAAAGACAGGAGTCTGTGTAAATCCCTGGGCTGTGCTGAGCATTTAAACAGTATTTAGCTGAAGTGGTGCTACAAATCCACCGGAGATAAGAGGCAAACATCGACCCACTGATCCTTTTGTGACTCGATTCTTCAGCTACAGCAACGGTTGGAGAACTTTCAAACGGTACAGGGAGCAACCACTTCTGTGGTGAACATGATAAGTAATTAGAGGCACCAAGGACACATTCATTTTTTCTCTTTTTTCTAGTCCTCCAATCAAAAATGCAACAACCTTGCTAAGAAAATTGCACATTTTATTTCTAAGACCTAAATAAAATTCAACTTGAACATAGTTATGTTGGGAGAGCAGAGACACCAGGATTTGCACTAAGTCTGCAGCAGGCTTTGGGAGACTTTTTTCCTAATATTTGGACATCTTGCCTCGGATTGAATAACAGCAACGCAACTCCACCACTAACACTGTTTGCTCCACAACGTGGCTGTTTTATTTCCACAAATAACACAAGCCCGGTGGAGCTTCTGCCATCAGGTTGAGTGGCTAACGCTAACGGTTAGCTTCTGCTAGCCGAGACGTTAAATCAGAAGCTAATGCAGGAGATAGGTGTAGGTGATTACATGTTCAGCCTGCATGATAAACTCACAGTGACTGATTTTAGTCAGAAATGATCATTTAAAAAAAATGGTTTTTCAGTAAACCACACCTTTAAATAGTTTTTCAGTTTGAACAGGGATTTGTGTTTCTTGAATTATCCGAGGTGATGGAATACTCGTGTCAACATGAGATGAAAGTTGTGGATTTGGGGTAGATTAAACCCACTCAAGAGTTTTTCTGAAGAATGAGAATATCTCTGAATATCGATTTGAAATTTTGACTGACTTCTTTGAAAAACCCTGTTTAGGTTTGACTCTATCTATGGATTTTAGACCAGTTTGCCCGTGCACGCCCACTGGTGACTGCTTCTTTCATAAGAGCAGTAATTATGTGGGATCTAATCACTTGCAGGAGGCCCTGAAGATAAAATATTCACTCATTTTTCAAACTCAGTTTAGTTTATGAGAAAAAAAATGCTAATAATTTTTCCTGTGACATGGTTAACTGGAGAAAACAATCAGAAACAATGGACGCACGTGCAGATAAAGACTTGTCAAAAACGCCTTCACAGAAACTGGCCACAAGCCATCTGAAATATTTATTTTCAGGTTTCTCAATGGAGCATTTTCTAGCTGTCAAACATTTCACAAACAAAATAGCACTCAGATCCCCTACATGCTTACGGTAAAACCTCTGTAGATGTGCATGACCTCTGAAACCGACAGTCGCTGCCGCCTCGGATTTGATCCGTTTTTACTGACGCTTGGGCTCAAAGGGGTGTGACCAAACTGCAAATGGACGGAGCACGTCGATCGTTTGGCATTTAGCGTAGGTCATTAAGATTACTTCCTGATTACGGTGCAGCTATCTGATTAAAACGTGGGGTTCACATCCATTCCTGAGGTATGCTCTGTGAATGGTATCTGAACAATGCTAATTACATCAACAGCACTGTTTTAGGCGAGCCAAGAAAATTACTTTCGTTTCGGCTGAGCCAAAAAAATTACCTCCCCCTTTGTTCTCCCAACCTCCCTGATGATGAGGCGGAGGACAGCGTCTCTTCACAGGGTCACAGCAACACCTCCAGCTGGAATCCTGATTAGATTGTGCTGCTCTGTGATATATTATCAACCTCCGAACCCGAAAATCTTTCTGCAGAGAATCGTTTACTTGATTCCTATTTCGTCTTCTCCCATCTCTCCTTTCGTGTGCGTTAAAAGAAATAAGAACCTTCTGTTACAGTGCTGTAAAAAAGTATTTTCCTCCTTACAGATTACCTATTTTTATCTTCTTTTGTCAGATCAGTAAGCCAATCTTGGTATCAAACAAAGGTTTCCCAATAAAACACAAAATTCTGTCTTCAAATAATGATTTCATTGATCCAAACCAACCTGAGAAAAAGTAATTTACTCCTGAACTTAATAACTGTTTGTAGTGCCCTTTAGTGACAATTATTAATGAGTCTCTCACATCACTGTTGAGGAATTTTGTTTCTCTTTATTTTACTTTACAGTTAAGGTTTTAATTCAGCCATATTGGATCGAGTTTCCAGCATGAATGGCCAGTTCAGACAGCCACTGTCCAGGTTCTGAAGAAGCCCCAGACCATCATTCTACCACTACCATGCTAGACCAGATGTAGGCTGTTCCAAATCCAGGGGCTGCAATTCTACCGAGTATGCATCTTAAGGACAATTTTGTCTTAGCAAAGCAACAAGGCTGCTCGAAGGACACTCACTTAATCCTCAAACGCTTTCTCCTTTTTCCTGAATGTCAAGGACAGGTCTATGTCAGGTGTATCCTCACCGGTAAAGGCTATCCCAGGATTCATTGCTGGCCTAAAAGGAGATTTTATTTTATGTAAAAGTAGCAGCTGAAGCAGGATTAAAGTTTTAAAGATACATTATTTATAATTAAAAAAAACTACCTTTCAACCCAATATCCAGTTTTTTTTATCTACTGACGAAATGATTGAATCTGGTACTTTTTGCTACAATTGCACGTAGAGGTAGCAATTATGTTTACTTTGAAGGGGTTCAGGCAATTTATGCTGGATTCTCCTCTCCTCCTCCGACCCAGGCATCTCCTTCTCCCGGTTCTGAAGGAGAGCGAGTAACCAGGAATAGGCCTCCAGGCTGCTAATTCCCTCCTGGTTCTCATCATCAGTCCCAGGCCACTCCTCCTCCTCATGATTCTGGCAGGATTCGGGTGTTCATAGGCGACCCTTAAGGCTGACAATTCCTGCTTGGATCTCTATCCTCCTAGTTACCCCCAGAGTCCATCCAACATGCAGCGAGCACTGATGCCCATCATGGCTGGCAATAAGGACTTTGACATTTATTGAAATTTTGATTTTGCATCACTGTCCCTGGTTTAACTTTCCACAATCTTCCACCAGATCTCCCCCTGGTTCTCCAATGCTCTCCCCTACTAAGCCACATACTACCCCCCCCCCCCCCCCCCAACATGAAGACTATGTTGTGCAGCTTTAAATGTAAGTCCATTAATATCTTGCTTTAAAATTTGAAAGCAATTGTGTTTTTAGTTTTTTATCACTTGAGCATTTGTTCTTTGAATATATTTTTGTCAAAAAATAAGAAAAATCATAAATGGACTAGAATGTGAGGTCCCTTACTTCTTTGTGTTTTGCCCTTTAGCCTAGTTGTATCTTCTGTTTAGCGTCATCCCAGTTGCTAGGTGACAAGACATAACCTGGGGTAAGGGCGACAATAAATATGAAGGCTAGACCATCCAAATTCAGAGCTGATCACTTTCGGTCTTGTCGCTTGAGGAAGGACATGGCTTATGTGGACCGCGTAGGACAAGTCCTCAAGAATGCTACCCCTAGATTTGGACATGGCTGTAATGTTTCAGCCTTGGAACTCCCTCATGGATGCCAGTAAGATCCGATCAAAGTGACGCTGTAATTCTACAGGTCTGGTATTAATCAGGTGTGGCAAGTTCATTCATTTACTGATCTGAAACCAAAAACACAAAGGAGGTAAATTCACAGAACTGTTTATCTTTTGCAATCTGATGAAGGCTATCAACAAGAACAAGCATGAAAGTGGTTTTTAAACAAGACGTTGTTCTGCCTTACAAGGCTTATTTTTCATACACATGTATGTCCTCATACGCAAGAGCCTCGGCACATTTGGCAGGGTGTAATACATCATAGTCACATTTAAAAACGTATAATTTTAAACAACAGGGCAAATGTTTGACCACTTGCTAATTTCATATAGCATTATTATCGGCACTTATGGCAATTTGAAATCTCTGCTGAGAAAAATGTGTTACATGTAAATGTTTAAGGGTGAGACTCCTTGGATGGTGCGCCCACTTCTTAACGACACTTGCAAGAAAACAGAAATCTTGAAGCAAGGCTGGCTCTTCTGAAAATTATCTGCTTGAAGCACAAAAATAAAAAAGAAGTTAGCAGGAGGAAAAATGAAGTAGGTGGAAAAAAAAGTCTAGAATCTAAAGAGGCTCCAGATGGGTTTTGTTTTTCCAACAGGATGTTTTTGTGTACGCGTGGTGGTAATCAGACCTTTCAGTGAGTAATCATTGTTCATTGTTTAATCAGACCACTAAAGAGGCAGACCTGCCTACTCGTTACATGTTAGCTCACAACTGCACATCTGATAAATGTCTGCCAAGCTCGTCCTCAAAAATCAGACGAGCCATTAAGAGAGGAACAGTGCAAACCGTCCATCAGTTCAAAGAACAAATGACTGTGCTGTTGGGCTGTGCAATGGTGTCACTAAGTAAATTATTTTTGCAGATGACAAATTATTTGATTAAAACGACTTGGCCACTGCCAAGAGTGCCGTTCCTGTGTGTTTTTGGTGTTTTTGGAGAATGACGTAACAAGAGTTAATTAAACTTCCTCGATTTCATTCGTGGTGCTGAGAAATTCCCCTTGCAGGGTGAGAATACAGAGTCACCAGAAAAACAAGCCTTGATTTCACAAGAGCACACACTGCTTTGGTATTATTAATTCAAGGCTAGAGAGCCTGCAGCCTTCAACGATGGCCGGAAACACATAGCCAGGACTGCGACCAACCAGATGGCTTGGCCCAAGAAACTACAAGCTTGAAAAAGTCCATTTGGATTGACTGTTTGAACTGCAGATAGCAGCTTCAACATCAGTGACTCTTGGTTAAAAACAACCAAACAGCAAGGCTAATTTCCCTTCGTTTCAAAGAAACAGGGTGATGCCATGATTTGACAGAAATCACAAGATTTCTTAGAATAGAATACTTTATTTGTCAATTTCTTCGAATGTGCTTGCCATACAAAGGAATTGA